TAATTTTAGTTTACTTATTAGTAAAATAAGACTTAAAGTAACCTAGATAAGGAACTTTACGAATATTACTATATATATATACTATTTACTAGATTAATAGCTCTTATAATTAATATTAACTATATTCTTATATTTAGCTACTCTCTTAGCTTTAAGGGGCTTAAGCGTAGGGGTCTTATATTTAAGAGGTATTATCGAGGCTAAGAAGAAAGAGAAAACGAATAAGTAGGAATAATAAAAATAAGTATTTATTAATCGTATAAGCATTATTTATATATATTAAATTAATTTACGAAAATTAAAGAAATCGATATAAAGAAAGGGAAAAGTTAATAGAATAGAGTTATTAAAACTTATTAATAGGATATATAGATCTTCTATAGAACTTATTTAATTAAAGTAGTTTAATCCTATTATTCTTATTAAATAGTAATTTAATTTATTAGGAATTATTCTAGTAGATTCTACGAAAAGCTAATAATTATTTTATTATATTCTATTAATATATTAAGGATTTAGAGGCCTTAAGAGTATATATTTAGTAATTATAAAAGCGCTATTTATTATTAAATTCTAATTTATTTCCTTTATTTCTAGGATTTAGAGACCTATTCTTATTATTTAAATTATAATTTAGCTTATTTCCTTAGAGAGCTATTTATAGATAATACTATTACTCTAAAGCGCTAGGAACTAGAGGCCTAATGCTTATAGGAATAGTAAGCTTAAGCTATATTTTCATTATTTCTAACTATTATTTCCTATTATTTCCTATTATTAAGTTATTTATTTTAAGACTAGAAGAATAGATCTAATATACTAGAGACTAGAGAATTATAGGCGTATTAGAGTAGCTATTAACCCTAGTAATAGCTCTTAATATTAGTTCTTATAGCTATTCTACCTATAAAGAAAAGAAGAGCTAATATTAAACTAATATTAAGGAACTCTATAAGTAAGATAATAATATCTAAGATATCTAGGATCTACTATTCTTAGGAGCACGTAAACTATAGCTTATATAATCGCTAAGAGTAGATAGGTATATCTAACTTACGTAGGTAGTAGTAACTTAGAGAAGGAGATAAGAACTATATAAGAATTAACTATTATAAGACTTATTAGATACCCTACCTATTCAGAGCTCGTAAGCATAGCGGAAGTACTAGATTAGGGTTCATATAAGCAATGAAGCCCTCTTAATAGAAGTACTTAAATTAATCCTAATAGGAGTAAGGCGTATCTTAGAAGGTATCTATTCTTAATAGTTAAGAACGTATAAATTAGATAGGAATTATTATATAAGGGGGACTTACGAGTATAATTAGAATTAGATAATTATTAAGATCTAAAAACCTAAAAAAAAGGTCTAGGGGGTGCCTTCTATATATAATAGACTAACCCTTAGTAGCTACGCGTGGATAAGGCGCTTAGACTACCTCTAGACCTACGGGGGAAGTAGAGTTAGATTTTAAGCTCTAGCTAATAGGGTATAAGAGAACTTAAACGCTTATTATTATAGAACGGCTCTATAGAATATTATTAAAATTATACCGTTCTATAGCTACGATTTTTTTCTATTTTATAATATATATATCGTTATAGTTAGCCTTTATTTAAGCTACTAGAGTAATTATAAGACTCTAACTCCTCATAACTCCTATAAAAGGTATTAGGCTAAAGGCCTTAATTAAGGAAAGTCGATAGATTAGCGAATAATTAATAAGCTATTTATTATATTAACTTTAATTTATAAAGGCTATCGAGTATAGCCTCGATTTCTCTTTTAACTTAGGCTTATCGCTAAAATATTAGTAATTATATAAATAGGGGTTAGGTTCCTAATATCTAACTCCTTATAATATATTATTACTAATATTTTAGTGATAGGCCTAAGTTAAAAGAGAAATCGAGGCTATACTCGATAGCCTTAATAAGTTAAAGTTAATCTAATAGCTTATTAATTATTCACTAATCTATCTACTTTCCCTAGTCCAGGCCCTTAGCCTAATACCTTTATAAATATATAGATATTATAGGGATATAGTACTATAAGGAGGCGGTAGTATAAGGGGCACCCTAGGTGGAAGGAGCTCTCGTTGCTCTGGCCTAGGGCTCCTGGCGGACTTGGACTCTGCTAGAGTCCTAGGCCTAGAGCACTCCACTGAATCTATCCATATAGGTGTCGTCCGACGACACCATTAGCCCTAGATAGCTTCAACCTTTTACACCACTCTGAACGTGTCCCTAAGTGAGGTCCCAACAGTCAGCGCCTATGGACGCCCAAAATTCAATATATACTTGGTACAAAAGTCATGACACGTTCCCAAGGCAGTTGCGATTTAAGCCACGTCACAGGCACCGCAGCAAAGTCATGTATACAGGGCAGTCCATTCCAATCCTTTCATTTATATTAGCATAGATCGGAAATGTTTTATTTCAGATACTTTAAACCAATTAACAGAAGTTGAGGTTTCCATGTATCTCTTAAATACCCTGCTAGTATAATTTATGATTGGAATTCAACTCAATAGCTAAGAGGATCCGGCCTAATAAGCCTCCAAGTAAAATCAGCCCCTGAGTCCAACAGCGAGGCTCATAGTGTAGTGGGGGACGTCTCCCCCACCCGCCTCCTTACCCCCGCATTCCCCAACGACGCCAATGTGCTGTATCAAGCGCTGCGCACCTTCTATACCACCCAGTAACTTTCCCTCCGCGGGATTCGTCGCTTTCTTTATATCAGTCCAAACATACAAGCTGCAAAGAACCACAGCATGCCGCTGGCGTATGCAGGTAGAGTTGGCTAATCGCTGGATGATTGTAATTGCTGTCAATCATGCCTAGCGATTACGCTGGACAACAGCCACTGGCAAGAGGCCACTCCCGAAACCGCTCCCAAGCTGCGAAAGGCAGTACGGATTCGACAAACTCAGTCCACAACAAGGATAAAAACACCAAATCACCTTCCCAGAAAGCAATGCTATCAAGAGCTCTCCAGCGAGCCAATACGGCAGTTCAACTTGATAACGCTCAAAACTTTGAAGGGGCGCGCCAATCGTATGCCGAGGCCTGCGACCTGCTGTCGCAGGTCTTGTCACGAACCACAACAGACGAGGATAAGCGCAAGCTGGAAGCTATCGTGAGTTCATCGTTCCCAGTGCTGGTCCTGACACTCACGTTCCGTGGCGTAGCGGCGAACCTACACTAGCAGAATAGATGAGTTGGATCAGATTGGACCAGCCCAAAGCTCAGAGGGCAAGGAGCTTCCAGCACGCCCCGAAAGCTTAGAATTATATTCTGGGCCAACCTCCCGCTCCACTGACGATGAGCTTGAGGACTACGACAATGTTAGGGGGGTTGAAAACTACACCGCTGCCGGCAGCGACAAAGAACGAGGTGGAAGCTTGTCGTTCGACTCAGACATAGATTCCAATCACTACCGCCCTCACATCAGGGGTAGCAGCCGGAGTCATGGTAACCATCGGGGTAGTCTCAGCAAAGATCCAGTTTCCGGCCCTCCACGGAGGGGTGGGGGTCAATATCCGCTGCAGTCATCCTTCTCCAGGTCCGATACTCACGTCCTCTTTCAAACACCTGAAGACGACTTCTCAGTGCCGCCACCGCTTTCACCGCGGCGCTCGGATTCACCCGGACAAGCCCAGAGGCCCTTCAGCCCTGACGCGGCTGTGAGGGCAGACTTCTCTATGCCGACCGCACTAGAAGATGCATCTACAGTCAACAAGCGGCCTTCTAGTAGAGAATCTAACTCATGGTTAGATCCTATCGATGAATCAAGCGGCTCTACGGCATCATCTGTGCATTCCCGGACGTCCTCGCGTGGTTTACGGAGAAAGCATATACGTGCCCCTAGTGGTGCCACAGAAGCTGAATTCGATGCTGCGTTAGACGCTGCAGTTGAAGCAGCTTACAATGATGGCTATGAACCGGCTGACCACTCGGGCTTCGAGGGTAGCAGTGACGACGAGCTTGCCTCCAACCCCGTAGGGAGGAGCGAGCCAACTCAGCAAACAGTTCAAGATTCGCAAGATGAAGGGCATGAAATTAGTCTCTCAAAACAGAGACAGGATTCTGATACCATGCGCCGCGATTTTTACGAGGATGACTCTTCTGAAGATGAAGACCGCATTCTGGCCGAAATAACCCACGCTCTAGCCACTGAAGACTTGGCGAATGCTATCGATGTAGGGGCGGTCCCACAAGAATCACCCCAAGGTCACTTCACCGATTACTCCTGGCAGTCCACCTACGGACCCCCCCCCCTCCCTCACGTCACAGATATCAGCACCACCCATATGGCGGCATCTGAACCACGCGCACCCCCGCCAACGCAATCTCTACCCCAACCACCCATTAAGATAGGCTCGTCTCTATCCCGCGGACCATCTCCAGTATCTGGGCAGACTGTGAGAAGCCGTCGACTTTCTGGTCAGAACCTGAAGCAACTCAAAATTGAGACCGGAAAGGCGAGTAATTACGGCGTTGCAACTCATACCGCCGAGACTCTCCAACCACGTACAATCGACGCCGCGGAAGAGGACGACATTTCACCCCGTGGTGTTGCTCCTGATGCAGGCATCTCAAGCCAAGGGTCCTCCATTGGCAGTGAGATCAGTCCCTCACAGCCATTGCCTCCGATGCCAACTCAACTTGCTTCCGCAGAAAGCGGTGATGGCGATGCCATGGACAGCCGTGCTAATTCACCTGTCATCTTCCCGCCCGCATTGAGAAAAAAATACTCCTCATCAAGTCTGAGGAGCTTGCGAAGCCGGAACATGTCGACCTCCAACCTAGATGATACTTCAGACATGTCTCCAGGTACACCCTTGAGCAATGGCTTTGCCCCGCATATCAGGGGACCGGCCATGCCAGCAATTGCGACCCCACTTACGGCTGCGTTTAGGGATAGGATGAACTTGGCAGGAGGACTTCACCTATTCGACGACAGTTTTCACGGCCCACAAAGCCCTGTATCGCCAGGGCTAGCAAGCCCAGATGCTCCAGTATCTCTTGAGCCCTGCCCAACAGATTATTTGCTTCGGCCGTTCTGGTTGATGAGATGTCTTTATCAGACACTTGTACACCCTCGCGGCGGTTACCTGAGCAACAAGCTTTTCGTGCCTCGAGACGCGTGGAAAGTCAGAGGCGTCAAGATCCGGGGTGTCGACGACAAAATAGCAATCTGTGACTATCTTACTGCAGCGCTCCTCAAACTTGCAAGGGTAGATACCTGCGACGCTGACGCCGTTTTGGAGGAGATGCAGGCACTTGAAGGTATTCTCGAACATGTGCAAGCGAACCTAACGCGCAAACTTGGCATGGAAGTCGGCGTGCAAAACTCTGGCACTCTGTTTCGTGATGCCTCAAATTCTGCAGAAATTGAAGCAGCGATCAACGTGCCGCGGTCTGGTAGTGTCTCTGGCAAATCCTCGTCTTTTTCATGGCGGCGCCTCCGATCCAAGAACTCGGCCGCAGGTCTGAGCAGTAGTTATGGCAAAAACAATACTGGAGACAATGGTAAGGAGTCACCTTCACTGGAAACTCTGCCAATGACTGCGCATCCCACGAGCCGTCCGGCCAAGCGTGATATGAGCAGTGTTGAGTTTTCTGGACCCAACGCCCCATACATGGGATCATTGGCACGGTTGTTCGATGCTGCACAAGCCATAGGTGAGACGATGACGAGGCCCGAATCAATTGGTCACCGCTAATATCAATTAGACCAGATTGCTCGACAGGTGGAAGACCCCGGACTTCGTCATGCCGATAAAACCCAGGTAGGCCTTGAGCTCTGCACTCGCCATGCTGCTGAGTTTTTCGGCTTCTACATCTGCCGCTTCGTGATGAACGATGTCAGCACTCTTCTCGATAAGTATGTCAAGAGGGGAAGTGAGTGGGTGATGGCGTAGGATGTTCTCGGACTCGATGAGTATAGCAGTTGAAATTGTGCGAATAGGATAAGTTTTCTCCATCTGCAGGGCCAGCATGTCAGCAAACACAGCAGTTGCCCTTGTCATTCCGATGATCAAGATTCAGGGAATTTGCGATTTGCCGTAAACTATAAGAGCGTCTGTAGACCTGTCCGATGTGTGCTACTCGCCGATTCATTATATTCGACCTGGGACTGGACGGTCGTGCACGTGACTAAGAGCGCCACGTTCGCGACGCGCGCCTCACCCTAAACAATTGCCTTGCCTGAAATAGGTAGATAGATAAAAGATCTTATCAGGCAACTCAGGTTGCGAGGATAAGTTGGCTGGGTACTCAAACTTGCACCTCAACATCATGGCAGTTGATACACGACGCAACCACCGTTCCTGCTCAAGGACCCCTTTCTACGATCCGGCATCGTCTCTTCGACACGGTGTCCATATAAATCAAAAGTAAAGACCCGACAGACGTGTTTTGTCATTCTATACATTGCTAGGAAGCTTTGGCTGCGACCCAACCACACTGATATGCCAAGTTGACGGACACAGATACGTTCGACGATGTGCGTTTCAGCGCCAGGCTCGCACTTTATGCGTAGTGCTCTGTATCAACTTGTATGCCGTGGCTCTCGCCGCGTACCGACAATCATCACGGAGCACCGAAACCGCTTTCACCTGCCTGGCGTTGCAGCCGTACGTTCGCAAAGCTTCCATGGGGGCTGTGAACTGGCTTTTGCAGCGCCGAGAACGCCAGATATCCACGCTTATCCCAATCTCGAGCGGCGCATTTCGTCTATTCCCATTGAGCGCTATCGTAATTTTTGCATCGTTGCTCACATCGACCATGGTAAGAGCACGCTCAGTGATCGTCTCCTCGAGTTGACTGGGACGATTTCTGCCAACGCTTCGAACAAACAGATACTGGTAAATCCCGACGCTAAGCTGGTTATATTCAAGTTGCAGCAGCTGAGTTATTTTGTGCACAGGATAAACTGGACGTGGAGCGCGAACGTGGCATCACCGTCAAAGCACAGACTTGTACAATGATATACAACTACAAAGGACAGGACTATCTTCTACACCTAGTCGACACACCAGGGCACGTTGATTTCAGAGCCGAGGTAACGAGATCATATGCAAGCTGTGGCGGTGCACTGCTGCTAGTGGATGCGAGTCAAGGTATTCAGGCTCAAACTGTGTCCAACTTCCACCTCGCATTTGCGCAGGATCTGGCATTGATACCCGTTGTCAACAAGATTGACATGATCTCTGCCGACACTCCTCGTGTTCTTGAGCAGATAGAGTCGTCGTTTGAGCTTAACCCCAAAGATGCCGTGCTGGTATCGGCAAAGACTGGTAAGAATGTTGCAAGTATTCTACCCCAAGTCGTGGAGCGCATACCTGCTCCTGTAGGAGATTCGTCAGGCCACCTTCGCCTACTCCTTGTTGACTCATGGTACGACAATTTCCGGGGTGTCATCTTGCTTGTTCGTGTGTTTGACGGTCAGGTACAAGCTGGTGATCAACTCGTATCACTCGGGACTGGTAACAAATACACCGTAGGCGAAGTCGGAATCCAGTATCCTAGTGCCGTGCCGCAGAGCGTCCTGCGAGCCGGACAGGTAGGATATATTCACTTCAACCCTGGCATGAAACGCATTCAAGATGCCAAGCTCGGTGATACATTCACGACGGTTGGGAATGAGGATTCGGTTGTGCCATATCCAGGCTTTGAAGAACCCAAACCCATGGTGTTTGTTGCTGCTTTCCCAGTGGACCCGAATGATTACAGCCGTCTAGCTGACAGCATCAGCCAGTTGGTGCTGAATGACCGCAGCGTGACCTTACAGAAGGACTTCTCTGAGGCCTTGGGGTCCGGCTGGCGGCTTGGATTTTTGGGAAGCTTACACTGCTCTGTTTTTCAAGATCGTCTCCGCCAGGAACATGGTGGAAGTGTGATCATCACAGACCCCACTGTGCCTACAAAGGTGGAATGGCAAGATGGCACCGAGGAAATTTTCCAGAATCCGTCTGAGTTCCCATCCACTGATGATCATCGCATGCGCGGCGCCACGACGTACGAACTGTAAGTATTGTCTTTCTATCCTGTGCCAGCCGATGGTCCTGACTATATAGTTTTGTTACTGCGACCATCACTCTACCTGAGGAATACCTTGGTCGAGTAATGGAACTGTGCGAGAGTATGCGGGGGGAGCAGAAAAGCCTTGACTTCTTCCACACCACCCAAGTCATTTTGCGTTATGAGATCCCCGCGTCTAATCTGGTCGACGACTTATTCGGCAAACTCAAAGGTGCTACGTAAGTCCTCGCGCCAAGTGCTATTCTCAACGGGGTATATCGTAAAGCTGACTTGCCCCCAAAACAGAAAGGGCTATGCTACATTAGACTACGAGGACGCTGGGTGGCGACCCAGCCAGCTGACCAAGTTGCAGCTTCTTGTCAACAAAGCTCCAGTCGATGCTATCTGTAGGGTCATTCATGTGTCCCAAGCTGAGCGACTGGGCCGTCAATGGGTGACCAAGTTCAAGGAACACGTGGATCGGCAAATGTTTGGTATGATAGTGCGACCTGGTTCTTGTCCATGTGTGCCAGCTCACTAACGTGTCATTTGTGTCTAGAAATCGTGATTCAAGCAGCTGCCGGCAGGCGAATCGTGGCCCGTGAGACAATCAAGCCATTCCGAAAAGACGTGCTTGCCAAACTCCACGCAAGTGACATCACCCGCCGACGGAAACTCTTGGAAAAGCAGAAGGCGGGCCGGAAGCGTCTTCGCGCCGTGGGAAACGTGGTCATTGACCAATCTGCATTTCAAAGTTTCCTGGCGCGATAATGGCCGTCTAGTTCTGCCCTGTGCTGCTACATCATTCAGTTCGATGTGGCAGTCCGAATCTCATCATCCGGAAGATGATGACCAAGTTCTACTACGTCAACGCATGATTTGCCAAGTCCACCGCGGATCGTCGCGGCCCATTGCCTCAGCTGCGGCAGCTGCCTTGGTTCAGCTGCTGCGACGAGTTCGAAGACTCGGAAATCGCCATTGAAGAACGAGAAGCCTGTCAGACCGGCGCGAAGGAAACCGGAATGCGAAACAACAAACACAATCTTTTCTGGCCTTGCCTGAAGATTTCTCAGCCCAGTCTCGGCCCGAGCTAGGATGGCACGCCGTGTGTACGCATACGAGGCTGCACCGTCAGAAGTCTTATCGGGATAGACGGGATCCATGGTTGAAAAGTCAATAGTCGGAAAGCGTTCCACGAGGGTATCAATTGTGCTTCCTGTGTCACATGGCTTGATGGAGTTCTCTGTGTCACTGTCAGTCGATGCGGTAAGATCAATTGGTCAACAGAAATCGGACATGTCACACCTTGCCAAGTGGCGTCAGCCCGGATCTGCACGCCTTTGTCGACCAGCCAGTCTAACGAGAGCAACGCGGTCTGCATTGTGCGTATCATGGGGCTTGCGATGATTGCTGCATCTTGCACGTCGCCAAAAGTCTCCAAAAGACTCGATCGAAGCTCCTGACACTGAGCCAGTCCTAGGGTAGATAGCGGGGGATCCGGAATAGTATAGTTCTGTATCCGGGGTCAGAATATACACGCTGTGATTTCTTCGCTGGTGGGACTTATTGTCGACGTTGTGTAGAGCCTGGGCATGGCGGATGAGTACAATCGTGTTGGGCATCTTTCAAATGCTGCCCACTTAGCCCTGTTGTAGCTGAGCGGGTGATCAGTACAGTCTGGGCAAGGTGACCAGGACTGACTTCTTAACACGCCCTTTCTGGGGAAAGCCGTCGATGACTCCCATCCGAATCTGGCACAGCCACCGCACATCACATGGGCCCCTGTTCCGTTCAAGGACCTTCCATCAGCTCGTCAGCCACGAATTTAGCCATGGGATGTTTCGACTGCCTTCCACCTCAACTACTACATTGCTCGTGTCTCGAAGCATACTCGCCCCGGCAGAGACTCAAACTTTAGATTTGGCATACATATAAACGGGGAGACGGGTCCAGGGGTTTAAAGGTCAGGTCAACACAGTCCCCCTGGGTGCTTACTGGCTCAAGCTACACGACTGCACTGGGGTTCTCAACTCCACCTTTCTCGCGGCGTGATGGTCTCGAATACCGCAGAGACGAATATTGAATTCTTGTTGCTCTAGATTGAACTGGCCTTCTAAGAAAGGTTGCCAAAACCGTATTTTAGTTTGCCTCCTTGATCATGAGCTTGCTCATGGGCAGAGAATACAAGGCGAAGACCCAGACGAGCCATTGGTTCACACTACCTACCTGATCCGAGTTGGCGCAACCCGAATTGTGGGCCCAGTACATGCACGATGGCATGGGGAGCGGGCCTGTCATGGTAGATTCAATATCCTAAGCATTCATGCAACCTACCCACCTACCCAGCTTGTCTTCATCTGACATTCCTGCTTTGCAAATGCATACAACCAAGGCTGCACGCAGGGCTTTTGAATAGGCTCGTCTGGCAAGGCCATTGGGAGCGCCCGACCACAAACTCGGTTCGCGTCTTACCTCTTCCGGGACCACATCACTGCAAGCCATAGATCGCCCAAGGGCGAGATTGTAATCAGCTGTCATGCCGAAGGTTGACGATCTATTCTCGGTTCGTGCACACATACTCTGCCACTTCGAGAGCAATATTACTGAGGACATGAATTAGCAAGCAGGAGCTCAAAGCAAACGAAGGCTGGACCCAATTCGAGACCCGGGTAGGCCACCAACTAGCCGCACAGTAGCCATGGACTATGCCCCTGACATATATCACAGCTGAGGTGTACAAATCGGCCAGGCTCAACGACAATGACCTGCGGCGAATTGAAGCAAGGAACGACGGTTTTGGCACTGGGCTGACAGGGCACATCTCGGACCCAACTCCCAAGACCGAATCAGGGCCAGATGACGATCATAACTCCCGCGCACCTTCACTCACGCATAGTGATGGCATCGACGCCGAAGAAGACGATGACGGCGAGGGCCGCTTCTTCGGTGGCGGCGTATCGAGGCAGGAAACCGAAATCATGGACTATGTTGCTGCTCGTGGGGACGACATCCCGATTCCAGAAAAAATAGACAACACTTGGCTTCGGAAGACGGCTCTGAGCTTCGAAAGACACATCAACAAAAACGCTGAACTGCGGGCGAAATTTGAGAACGACCCTCAAAAATTCATTGCGAGCGAAGCCGACCTCGACGCAGCCATCAAGGACTTGTCGATATTGTCAGACTACCCCAGTCTTTGGCCGGAGCTAGTGCGCCTCGGCTGCGTGGGCAGTCTTGTTGGGCTGTTGGCGCATGACAACACCGACATTGCGATTGACGCAGTAGAGATTATTGGAGAGCTGACTGACGAGGACGTGGCGGCCACTGATGACCATTGGAACACACTGGTTGATTCCATGCTCGAGGCAGATCTGGTTGACCTACTTGTCTCGAACCTGACACGCCTCAATGAGAATGATGAGGCTGACCGCAGTGGTGTCTACCACGCGTTGTCTGTCGTCGAGAATATTCTTTCACGGCGATCTATTGCTGAACGGGTTGGTCAGAGTGACCTCTTGGTGAATTGGCTCTTGGCAAGGATCCAGCTGAAAGAGGCGATCGTGTCGCAGAACAAGCAGTATTGTGCTGAAATACTCGCCATCATTGCGCAAACATCATCTCAAACACGTGCCAAGCTCACCTCTCTCGGCACTGTCGACGCCGCGTTACAATTGGTGGCAGCCTACAGGAAGCGCGATCCTGAGAGGGGCAGCGAGGCAGAGTACATGCAGAATCTCTTTGAAACTCTAACATGTTTAGTCGATGAGCCCGAAGGCAAAATTAAACTGCTCGAAGCCGAGGGCATAGAGTTATGTTTGATCATGCTAAGGGAAGGAAAGGCGAGCAAAATGCCAGCTTTGCGCCTACTCGACCACAGCACGGCCGGGATGGCCGGCGGCGAAACTTGTCAGAGGCTGGTTGAGGCTGGTGGGTTAAAGAATATATTCACCATATTCATGAAACGACAAGACGGCCCGACTGTGGAGCATCTGGTTAATATCTTTGCATCCTTGCTGCGACTTCTACCTCTGAATTCAGCAGAGCGAATACGTACCCTGGCCAAATTTGTCGAGAAAGGATACGAAAAGACCGAGAGATTGGTGACAGTCCGGAAAGACCTTGCCTCTAGGCTCAAGATTGTTGAGCAGCGTATACAAGCCGAGCAAGATGAGTTTGATGAGGGTGCCGGGGCTGAGGCGGCGGATGAGTGGCTGTCTTGGAGACTGGAAGGTGGCCTCTTTGGTCTGCAGGCAGTGGACATCGTGCTGGCATGGCTCGTTGCAGAAGACAGCGGCGCACGTGCTACCATTGAGAGGCTGTTTGCCGACCAGGGTGAAAATTTGGAAGTCCTTCGCAAGTCCCTGAAGGGACAGCTCGACGACCTTGGCGATGAAGTGGACAGAACCAGCGATAAGAAAGACATGTTGGGTGCGCTTCTCCATTTTGTGTAGCAGCTGTTGTGGCAAGGGGAAGTTACAACATTATTCTAGATAAGGAATAGTAAAAAACGGTGATTTGATTCTAGGATAATTCGGGTCAAGGGGCTGCGGGTTAAATGTAAGCCACACAACCCGCCTTCGCTGAACTGAAAGACAGCTGGGTGTTCATGAGCAGCACTGAAACAGTGAGAGCAATCACGCAGCCACGGGAGGGACGGGCTTCACGTCGAAGACGGCCTTCAAGAGGTCCTTAACCACCTTGTCTTGGTTCTTCTGCCCTGCAGCCTTGATTTCCGAAATCTTGGCATCCGCCTCCTTGTTCGCGTCATCCTCAGCTTGCTTGTTGCCCGCCGAATGCTATTGATGTCAGTCTACGATCCGCTGCAATACTGTCTGCCAAAAACGTGTTGCAGAAGTCTCATCGGAGTGAGGCTTACTTGTGATTCGAACTTCTTGTACTCAGCCTCCTTGGACTGTCTGTATTCCTCGATTTCCTTCTTCGCTTCGTCCCGAGCTTCCTTCACTCGCTTCGTGCGATCTAAGGTATGAGGTCAGGATACTGCACAACGGGCTGTGAAATGCAGGTTACACGTAGAGCAAGAAGAACGTACATTCGCGGGCTGTTTAGATCCAGATCAGTCAGTATTGATTTCCGAGACACACGTTCGTAAGGAAATGCACATGGACTGACCCTTCTGTACAATTTTCGATGCATCTCTCTCCGCCTGTCGGTGTATCCGTTAGATCCTGCAGATTGTATTGGCGCAGCTGATGTATAGTTGGTGACATACGTCCAATAGGGTCTGAATACCCGCCGAGTTCTGTGCTGACTATGTCGATTATGAGCTTGACTGTCGATATGGTTTGAAAGGGTGGTGACGGTCACTGACCATGGCTGCGGAGTTGCTTGTGCCTACTACCTCAAGCTTCCGTTGGGTTTATGGAGACTGCCTCCCGGGTGACGCGCGAGCTCCGTCGGTGGCGAGCCCAGTGTGCAGAGCCTTTTTGTTAGCTCCTCACTTCGATTGTGCGGAAGCAAAGATGTGTTCGACAAGTGTAGATTGGCTCGCTCGTCGTATACTTGATTGAAATGCGTACAGTTGGCGGCGGCAATGGCGATGTTGCGGATGGATGACGCGAGGCTACAAATGGGGCCGAGCACAGAGAGGAGGTGGGTGGTTGAAGAAGGGTGGGCCGTCATGAGTGGAGCACAGAGCACGTTCTCGGTTATCTGTACTGACAGGCACGCGCCCCGACCAGTGTCAACTGTGAAGGGGCATTTTTTCGGCTGATCGCACCATGTTCGCTCTCACGATCTTGCACGACACCAGGTTTGCTGAATGCAGGGCACGGAATGGGTACTTGGGCGAGAATTTCGATCATCATCCAACTGGCGAGCCGTTCAGCGCTTGGGCCTGAATCGCGGACCCCATGTGCAAAGCACCTGCAAGACCCGGGTACAACGATCAGGATAAGCAACATCTGACGAATCGAGGTAACAACAAAACAGATATCCCGGGAACTAGATGCGCAACAAAAAGGCCGGATGTCCAACCTGCATAGGTACGAGTATTTAATTAGGAGGAGTGCACTGTCGAGATCCAACGCTAGTTACGAGGTCGATCCACCTCCCAACCTACCTTACCTTACCTACCCATCTTTGTAATTATGTACATACTGCGCATGAGTAGTTGCATATCTAGGTAGGTGGTGCATATTACTTCCAGGTAGGTGGTACTGCTTGCTCTCAGGTCTGTCTCCGAATCGTTAAGCCTCTACCGCGCGATTCTCTTCCTGTCTGTGACGGTCTCCCAAGTTCTAACAGCCTTGATCAGCAGGGGAAGCCATACTTGGCATCGCCAGCAATCGGTGCAATGTCTCGCGCATCCAAGCTCACCCTGATGGGTACGTCATTCTTCGCCCTTGGGACGATCATCATGGTTCATTTCCAGCAAAGGTCTGAGAAGCAGGCAAGTTTTTAACTTCAACAACAACCACACACGACGAGGAACTTTAGGTGCTAATTGGCGTGTCTCGGCGCAGGCCATGCATCAAGGTGTGCTGAGGGATATGGAACAACAGCGAGTCAAAAGAGAGCGGCAACTGGACTTCGATTTGCAGCGTGCTCTGGAACAAGAATACAAACGGGAACAAACCGTCCGAGATTCGACGAATCCGGATTCATCGCAAAGCTCAACAATATCGTAACCATGCAGGAAGCGCGCTTCACATGCACTCGCAGCAATCTTTGCTATCCACAGACTACAACAACGAAATAATGTGTGGTCACAACCACTTCACACAACCCAGACACAGGGGAACCAGACAAATCACAACCAGAGATAACTGCGCAGAACCGCGCAAGTGACACATTTCACCACAAGCTTCGGGAACTTTGGTTATGACAGGCTACATTTGGCCCTCTTGGTAAATGCGGATCGATGCGTCTGCCGCGTACCTGTACGCTTTCCCCCCGTGTTCCCGACCCCGTCTGCAGCGAGAACTGCTGCTATTACTGTACAATTTTGGGCATCGAACAAGCCTGACGCGCTAATTGAGTTCACAACTGGCTTGTAAGTAGCGTCTTACCTATCAAAGAGAGCCCCAATGATGAGTATCCGACGAGACGCCCTTCCAGTGCATAACCCCAATCGTCTTGAGCGTCGAGTAGTGTCTGTTGCGGACGTTTGCCCCGCTATACACCCGCGCTTTCAGCGGATCGAAACGCCAGACCTGTCCGTGAACATTCGGGCAGCAATGTTCATTGATTGCAGTTCCTGGAAAAGAAGTTTGGCCGCATACGGTATATGGATTTGAGCAATTTTCGTTTTGTTCTTGCAAGGGCGGCACTCGAAGGATTGCTTTGAAAGGTTTCTGGAAGACTGTTTAGCAGGCGATGCATTGAATCAGGAATTTTTAAGGATCGAGGACTTACGCGATTGGTGTCATGAGACCACAGATTTCACAAATATGAACCCGGAAAGCATCCGAGACCTCGAACAACCTCTCCTTCAAGAACGAGGCAGCACCGTGTGCAATCATGCAATCTCGCTCCATCTCGCCAAACCGTAAGCCACCATCGCGGGCTCGACCTTCGACTGGCTGCCTTGTCATGATCTGCACGGGGCCGCGGGCGCGTGCATGAATCTTGTCGTCGACCATGTGACGCAGCCGCTGGTAATAAGTTGGTCCAAAAAATACCTGAGCACGCAATTTCTTTCCAGTGTGGCCATTATACATAACCTCGAATCCTCGAGACTGATAACCTTGGTCGCGGAGAAGCTGCGAGACGGAGTCTACAGTCACGTCGGTAAAAGGCGTTGCGTCTCCTTCCATACCCTTCAATGTCGACACTTTGCTAAGCAGACATTCAATCAGATGCGCAATGGTCATTCGTGAAGGGATGGCATGAGGGTTGATGATGATGTCCGGGGTGATACCCTCTGAGGTGAAGGGCATGTCTTCCTGGCGGTACGTAACACCAATCGTTCCTTTCTGACCGTGACGAGAAGCAAACTTGTCGCCGATCTGCGGAATCTTGGTGGTCCTCACTCGCACCTTGACATATCGCAAGCCGTCCTGGTTCGTTGTGAGGATAACCGAGTCAATGATGCCGTTTTCCGTACTTCGCAATGGTGTTGAGGCATCTCGTTTGACGTGCTGCATCGTTCGTTGGCCAAGCTCTTGGTTATCGGGGTTAATCGGCGACGTCTTGCCAATGATAATGTCCTCGCCAGAAACACGAACACCTGGCGCCACAATACCATCGTCATCCAACTTGTCGTACGTTCCATGCTTAAGGCGCAAGGTATCGTTTCTGAACGGTTTCTCAAATTGTTCCACGAGATTGATGCCTACTCGCTTCTCGCAATCCGTGTACGACCTGAAGAACAGGCTGCGGAATAGGCCTCGATCGATGCTGCTTTGATTCATGATGACCGAGTCCTCCTGGTTGTAGCCAGAATAGCATGCAATAGCGACGACGGCATTCTGCCCTGCGGGAAGCTCTCGGAATTTCAGAAACTCCATTGACCTTGTCGTGGCGAGAGGCTTTTGCGGGTAGTAAAGAATGTTGGCCATTGTGTCCATTCTTCGAGAGTAATTCGTCAGGAAAAAACCCATTGCTTGCTTCCCCATGGCGGATTGGTATGTGTTACGAGGCGACTACCAGAATGTCAGCATGTGCCATGAACGTCAGCAGCTAGAAGGGAAATATGGTGTCTTACCTGGTTATGGTCCGGGAAGGGAATGATACTGGCGCAGATTCCCAGAATCATACTCGGATGGATCTCGCAGTGGGTGTACATATGCGTCGTTTTGGCGATCTTTGTTCGTAGGCGGCGATTAGGCCCTTCGGAGATATCCTCTTCAACTTCATGCCCAGCTTTGCGCAATCGGTAGAGTTCTAGATCCTCAGGCGTCATGCAAATCATCGATGTCTCTTCTTCCTCAGCGTCAAGGTATTCGATGATGCCGCTGTGGGCCAAGGTTTGCCACGTGATCTTGTCTTCTGGGTTATCGGGGGGGTTTTCTTGCTGGTCTCGCATCTCATTGACGAGATCCTTCTGCAGTACGAGCGAGCCCTGAGGTACGGCACCGTGGTGGCTCTGCTCGACAACGAAGACCGGTCTCATGACTCGACCAGCGTCGGAGAAGATCTTGAACTCGCGGTCGCGAATGTCGCGGACCAGAGACACTTCGTGAGATATGACATTACGACGACGTGTGCCCTGAACGTCGGGGACGAGCACGCGCGGGTCTTGATGAACGCCTACCCAGACACCGTTGAGGAAAACCTTGGTCGCGTTGGGATACCTAAGCGGCTCGTACTCTTCCAAAACTTCCATACCACGCTGGATCATGTAATCAATGATGGGCTCTGCTGGCGTGCCGACGCTGACATAGCACATCAAGGATAGGTTCTTGACAAGACCGCAAGCCTGTCCTTCTGGCGTTTCGGCGGGACACACCAAACCCCAGTGAGTGTTGTGGAGTTGTCTAGGTTTGGCGATTTTGCCATCTCTGCCGATGGGCGTGTTCGTCCGCCGCAAATGCGACAAGGTTGATGCGAATGTGTACCGGTTCAAGACCTGGGACACACCAGCGGTTGAGCTCGCAGCCTTCTTCTGATCTCCCCAATTTCCTGTAGCTAGCGAGTATTTGAGACCATTAGACAACGTCTGGGGTTTGACGCCGAGAGTCAGGCTGAACTGTCGGTTAGATTCGACGCAACGCTTGAGATGCCCCGAAAGCTCCTGATTCATGCGACGAACAATGGTGCGGAAGAGCTTCGCCAACAGAGGTCCTGCGAGGTCCAATCGCTTCTTTCCGAAATGATCGCGGTCGTCAATATCGCGTCTTCCTAAGGCGCACTGCAGCAGCTTGTGAGTCATGTAGCCGAGGAAAAAAGCCTTCCTGGTCTCACTGCCTTCGCTCTGTGAGATATGAGGCAACGTCTCCTTCTGCAGGATTTCCTTGGCACTTCGCACACGCTTCTCTCTAGTCATCGTGTGATTGCTGTTGCCGCGCTTGCCGATCCAGTCAAGGGCTACGTTACGGTCCTGGACGATAAAGGCCTCTTCTATGCAAGGCCGTAGCATTTCCAGCATTTGCGTGTCGTTTCTGTCGTAGCAAATGTGATTGAGAATATCTTCATCAGACACGATACCGAAGGCGCGGAAGACGATGCCAATGGGTATGTCAACCTTGACATACGGCAGAGTGCAGTGGATTGTCTGGCCGACTCCGCCCTTGGCAGGGCTCGTGCTGTGCAGCTTGAGCATCAGGCTCGAAATCAGTCGCGAGCCCTTCTCGAGAGCACTGCGAATCTCGGCAGTGTACGAGAAGGGGCTTGGCTGAGCTTTCTTGAAGACCTGTACAATGTTCGCAGCGGAGCGTTCCTGGGCGATGAGAACCTTCTCGCTGCCGTTGATGACAAAGTAGCCGCCCTGGTCGTAAGGGCACTCGTTCAGCATAAAGAGGTCGTTCTCGCTCTCGCGGCTGAGGTGGCAGATCTTGGATTTCACCATGATAGGCATGCGTCCAATAAAGATCATGTCCTTCATATCTTCTGGCTTGTCTTTGTCGGCACCTGGGTCGTCGCCACTCTCCTCCTCTTCCCACTCTAGTCGTGTCGGATGCTCGCCTGTCCTGGCCATCTCGTCATGCTGTTCGTCATCCAGCTCGTTAAGCGGAATTTGGTTCTCAACAGCGATGGACACTTTCTTCGTAATCCTAACATAGAGGGGACTCGCGTATGTCAGGTTGCGGTCACGGCATTCGTAGGGCAGTAGCGTGGAGACTTTGCCGTCCGCCTCAGTGATCGATGGTCTGGAGACCATGACCGTGCCGAATTTGACTTCATATCTGCGCAGTGCAATCGCTCTATCACTGTCGGATGCGGGGTTCGGCTGGTCGAGGGTTATGTGGGAGTACTCGTCGATGAGCTCCTGGACTGTAGATGTCGTGAACTCGTCGAAAGAGTCAACCTGCTGCGACACCAAGCCTTTCGAGTCGAAGAATGACGATATGACAGTCCAGCAATCTTCGGGAGTGATGCTTGCGTCGTCCTCCTCGTATCCATCATAGTCGAATTCTTCATCGTACTCGGCAGCCATTTCGAGCAATGCGCGTTGCGCAAAGGAACGACGAAGTGCGTAAGCGAAGCTTGGTAGCTGATTCGTGTTTGTGGCAGGAGGCGGATGCGGAGGCGGGAATCGTTGACAAAGGCGACCAATATCACCTCTTCCGGGCGACACTGCCTTCGTTCAACAGAGAGTGCATGTAATAGACGATTCAGTTGATGGGAAAGGCCGAAGCGTGAGGCAGCAAGGGCGGTATGTATGATGGTTTCCGTTATGGTCGGTATTCTGAGACGACGCAAAGCAGGCAGGTAGGCTGTGGGACAGTCGAGGGACGTGTCGGGCCAGTTTTTTAGCCCGCTACGCGACGGGTCCTATTAAGGATGGCGACCTGCTTATTGTTCCCCAATTCAATGAGTATTAGGTAAGTCGAGGCATGAAGGGGCATGGGTTTCATTAGTCGCTGGCAGTTAGTGGGTTATGGTGTTCAATATCATATACCATATATATACATATGTGTGTACTGTATAGTGTTGGTGGTATTCGCCTGGGGCTTCCAGCGGTCACCTGATGCCAGGTGGCCTGTGCCCTGGCACCTCCCTCCTATAGCTTAGTTCCAGGCACCCTCCTGCCCTAGAGAAGAGCTTCCCAATACAACACCTTTCCTCCTTAGACCTCCAACATATAGAGGCTGTGGTAACGCCCGGAGACTCCGGAAAATCTTGCCTCATCTTGAATCGTCGACGACTTGATAGGATGCTTCTGCTCCAACGACAGTCACCATCTGGGCTGAGAGGTCGATTCAAGTCTTGGTTTCCACGGATCCGTGTTTAGACATTGAGGCTGTCTTCTGTTGAGACGTGGGCTTCTTTGCAAAGAGTACCTTCCCAGCGTCCATCTTCCTTAGTATTAGCGTGCCATGCAATGCCTGGCACAGCACAACAAAGCGAGACAAGACGCTCCATATCTCTCAATGATTCAGATGCAGTGCGAAATTGATTCCACGTTGACTCTTCTCCCAACGCTGTTGAAGCAAAGTCTTTCGTGGGGTTGCGGCCCTGTAAGCGACGAACAGCGAAGTTCATTTGCGCATACTTTCAGCTCAGCAGCCCAAGTCATCAAAACCAAGAGCTACACTACGGCACGACGCTGCGTATCTATACGAGAGGACCCTGCAAGGAGCGCGGAGGCGTGTTTTGCTTCTTTCGGCTTGAGATGGATTCGTTTGCTCAGTAGTTGCATATGCCACCCACCTCTTCATCCATGGTCCACGTACCTGCTAGTCCCCCGACCTGTACCTCTTCGATGATCGAGGACACTTCAGATTTACCCATGAAGAAATCGCCCCTCCCTTCGGTTCTGTTCGTCCGTGTCATGAATCTTCTGGTCCACTCTGCGACGGCCGGCTCACCGGTCTCATCCCTGGCCTGTTTGAGGAATGGAATCAAGGCAGTTCCTCCCGTGCCTTTGAGCTTTGTGTTCGCAGTCCCCGTGGGGCCTGACGACTGGCCGGTTCCTCCAACATCCTTCCGTTGGCGGGAAGCTGACGCCAAGTCGAGGCGCTTTCTCGTAGCCTCGGGGCTGCGCGACCTGCTACGAGCGCGAACCTCTCGAGAAGGAACGATGATATAGCGAGTCACAATGGCAATGTGCTTGTCGCGGAAAGAGCTCAGCATGGCGAGGCAAGCATCGTAGGCCAGAGTCAATTGTGGGTTGTCTGCGTGCGTTTCGACAAAGCCTCGCACGTTGGCTACGAGGCCGACCTGATCCAAGAAACGAGCGTGCGGACCAGGCATGTAGCGACGCATTTCCATGATGAAGTTGTGACGCTGGCCAGGCGCCCGATCCTCGCGCGGCGACTCGGACGATTGGCGAGTTTTTCTTCCCCCGAACTCGCCAGTAGGACGGTGATCGATTCCAAGTACGACATCGAAAAATTGGATGAGACTACTCTGAGCGTTGCTGCCGCCGCTGTAAAACCTGTAGTCGAGTCTTCCGGAGCCATCGTCGTAGTTGAGGCCGAGCGGCAGACCAGCCTCGGCCATGTTCTTGCTGCCGGCGAGGAACGGCCGGATGCGGTTGTAAAAAATGAGAGGATCACAGCTTTCATGCATTCGTTGCAGAATGCTGGTCAAGTCTGTCAAGCGTTCCGCGAATCCGCGCAAGCACCGAGTGACGGCAGCCAAGTCGCCCTCTCGCGCCGCAGCTATAGCGGTAAGCATCAGGGGAATTATTGGGGCACCATGGGCCTCAATTGCGACCGAGACGAGGTAGAACCAAGATTCGTCAAGGGAGCCTGTGAAGGTATTCAGAGAAGCGAGATTTTCGAGACTATCGATTCCCTCATCCATGAAAAGAGGCTTGAAGTTCCACAGACAAACTGCAGCATAGGTTGCGACAGGTGGAAGCTCAAGATGCTCGGACACCTGCAGGAGCGGTACAGTGATGGGTGGAGGTAGGTGATCAGAGGGCTGGTCGCCGCCCCAGACATAACCGTGTGCCATGAAGCATAGCAACGAGTACGCCCTGCGCCATTCTGCCTCGTGCTCCAATCCAATGGTGGATAGGACAGGCAGGCGGTCCACAACGCTTCTGAGACGTCGGCTCAGCATGAGAGCCTGGAGGTTGCTGACAACGGCCTCCCATTTGTTGTAGTATGGGTCTGGGAGCCGTGTCAGAGGCAGGACATCGGGAAGAAACCCGTGAGTTGGTGATATGCCATAGTCAGCCAAGATCGGAATGGGAGGAAGCATGGCGAGCGTGGCCCTGGTGAGCTGGGACATGAGATGAAGTTGGAGAAAATTTTCCTGACGCAAGGAGTATCCAGTTACAGGGTCTGGCGTACTCCTCAGCCGTGCGAGATGGCTTGTTGATGACGAGCATGCGATAGGGAGAGACGGCACGATGCTTTTGCTGTAGAGTTCAGGGTGCACTGTGCCTGGTATACCAACGTTCGGACGAGACGGCGGGGGCACGGCGTTATAAATAAATATCCCGCAGGCCTCCTTCCTTCGATCACAAATGCGCTAGGCATTTTGACTAGTCATCATGCCCGGCTTAGGACATCGTTCGACTTCGGGCAGACGAGGTACCCAGAAGGCTCGCCTATCGAATTGACATTTCGTTACTTCGTACCTACCTTATAAAAGGCTGCCTGTTCAAAGAAAAAAAGGGTGTGCGCGATCCAGAGCAGACACGTATCAGTCTCACAGCTCTGCAACATGAGGCACTTCACTTATGCCCTTCGTCGAGCTGACTGCCTTTGGTGACCTACAAGCTACCTCAGTCCTTTTATCAATGGTAGCTGACCAAGAATGCGGGATGTCCAAGGAGCGCAAAGGCCAATTGCTCCGACTCCGGCCGCGGTACGGGTCGGAGCGGCAAGCTTCATCCGGTCAAGCCAGTATCGCACTCGATGAACACCTCGAACAGCGACTTTGTTGGCCATTGGGCAAACGGCACGGATAGAAGACTACCTTGTTCAATGCAATGTTAGATAAGTTGGTGCCCAATGCGCTGAAAAGACTTCGGTGTCCCCTGTGTGGGCCTCTAGAGTCCACTGGGCGGGGACCTACCTCAGCCAGCCGCTGACGAGCTCTTGCTCTCAGTGCCTAGGTACCTAGGTAGACAAGCAGGGTACCTTAGGTACAGTGGGGAGACAAAAAAACGATGGATTGCCGTTATGAGAAATACTTATTTTACTTTTCAAGTACTATAATAAAATAAACTGAATGGATATTAGTAATTGAAGTAATAGAAGCTATAGCTTTAGTAAAGTTCTATAAGCATTCCTAAAATCATTATTTATAGTATTCTATAGAATAAGTAATAGAGGTTAGAAAACTATGTGTTTTGGTGTGAAATCGGTTTTTTTTTGGGTCGCATGACTGTAGACACCTTAGGTAGGTACCTTAGGTAAGTACCTATCTTGCCTACCACGCAAGGTACCTAGGTATGTAGGTACAGAGTGATGTAAGAGGGGTTGGACGTCGAGCGTCTCGCATCTCGTTGTCCATGGCGAAGCGCGTTATCAACCGCTCTTCACCTGGCGCATAGTTACGATATTGGGCCACGGGCTATCACTACTGCGGCGGATAGCGTCAAAGAGGCAACATCATACTGCGACATATACGACCCAACAGCCTGACCGTGCGACAACGCAACTCCTCGTAATCCTGCTCCGATTGCGACGACACTACGCGGGCCCGGATATGCGCGACTAGGTGCCATCACTCCGTCAATCCTGCGGTGCAGCCATGCCGCCCATTCAACAACACATCCTGAACTGGCTGTACAGTGTTCTTACCAGCGTCAGTGTTCGAATCTGATTGTCCGCTCACCTCGTAGGAGCTAACGACTCGCAACATCTAGGAATACCACGATGTGAACCGGACTTATGGTGATGTGGCCCAAGCCTTGTCACAGTATCCATCGCTATCTCCTCGGACAGACGTTCACAGTGAGTGCTCGGTACTTTCAAGCGTCGCCTATTCCATGACTGACATGCCGCATTTGAAGCCTTTGACAATGGTACATCTGCACTTCTGCTGCACATCATAGGAACCCTGCCCGTAATTTTTCGAGGCACCACCTACCGCTTTCCTCTGTCCATACGCGTGCCCTATGCCTATCCTCGGGAGGCACCTCTCATATACGTAACGCCCACCGAGCATATGGTGGTAAGGCCCGGACAGCATGTCGATCCCCAGGGTCAGGTATACCATCCGTATCTGGCTGGCTGGTCCACGTTTTGGGATGTGAGTCTCATGGTTCTTCATACAGGATTTCTGGAGTACTGCACTGACACTTTGGTAGAAATCGACACTTGTTGACTTCCTCACCATTCTGCGAGATGTCTTCGCCAAAGAGCCGCCTGTCATAGCACGACAGCCCTCACATTCCGTGCTACCTAGCCAACAGGCTCACTCGCTACAGAGGTCGACAGACCTTTCTGTGGCATCAACACACGAGCTAGCAGGCCGTCCTTCTAGTCAACCACCTGTTGCTCCTACGCGAACTGGACCTCCGCCTCCGCCTAAAGATACCGACACCAGGCTGCGTGGAGTCAGTCACTTAGGCTCAGAACGTCCTCACGACGCGCCCCCACTTCCCCCCATTCCAGCTGGATTACAGCACACCTCAGAACTTCCACAGACTTCTCAATCCCACCATCCATCACCATCTCGATACGACTCCGCGCCGCCTCTACCGGGACAGCCCCCGTTGCAAAATCGGCCTTTCCCCCTCACTCATTCTCCCCTGCGGACACCTGCAACGCCGCCATATGTTAGCAGCTCCTTACAATACCGACTTGGCCAGCCATCATCGACGGTGCAGCCATCTGTGGCTTCATTCCAGCCTTTGCCTGTCACGGGTCCATCAGTGACCTGGCAATCACGAGAGAATGCGCAGGCTCCGGCAAAACCGAGTGCAGCGCATCAACCCGACCTGCTAGATGAGCCTCTGACCATTAGCATACCCTTGCCATCCAGCCTACCGGCACCTCCAATCCCCCCGAACCCCGAAAAGGATGCACTACTCCGCCAACTTGCGCGGACGCTTTACTCTCTGCGGCAGCAGAGTCGTCAACAGAATGAATCTAGTATGGCTGGCCTCCAGGCTCAACGTAAGGCCATGATGTCGGCGTCTTCGATTCTGCAGTCTGAGATCGGCGCCTTGGATCAAACTTCGGCCTTGCTTTCTTCCAATGCCAGAATATTGCACGATGCGCTACGAAAGGCAGATATTGTCGTTGAGGGGTCGCGCCAGCAGACGGCCCCAGATATAGACGAGCTATTGGTAGCGCCAACCGTGGTCTCCAATCAACTCTACGCACTTGTGGCGGAAGAGCGTGCCATGGGTGATGCTATCTTCGTCCTAGGCCGCGCTGTTGAACGGGGACGGATATCCCCCATAGTTTTCGCTAAGACAACACGTTCACTGGCACGAGAATGGTACCTCAAGAAGGCTTTAGCGCGAAAGATTGGTCGCGGAATGGGTCTGGTTGGGTGATTCGCTACGTGGTACGGGCCATCGCCTCGTGCTGTACAAACCATCGTTCGGGAACGGTGACGCAGAAAGCGCCTGACCGGAAACACCGTTGAAAGGAACGACTAGCTGATCACCAGTCGGTAACCAGCCATCGGCTATCTAATAAAGTAGATGAAATCAATACATACATCAGGTACATGCTCTTCAAAGCTTACCAAAAGCCAGTAACCTTGTGGTCCAAGTAATTGTCAGATCCTAGTGAAAGTTCATTTGGCTCTCGGGGGAAAGGACATTTCAAGAAACGCTCTGGACTCCGATCTCTCTGTTCATATTACAAGTGATTCCCGGGTGCCATCTGATTTCCACACGAAGGTTTCGATGGAGCGAGGAGAAAACAAAAGACGAAAAGAAAATATTTGCGCTGCGGTGCAGTTGCCTTGCCTGAGCCTCTAAACCCTGTCCTCGCGTCGATCAAATTCACGATTGACTCGCACCACTCCCATTTCAGCGTCGTATCCGTCGAGGCGCCGCAGTTCGAGGTCTATGGGATCGGTTGCAACACGAGAACGGCCAGCCTCTATCCGAGATGTAACGGTGCTCGTAGCCGCATTGCTCTCAGTGGCATCGGAACCAATCTGGGAGATGTCCTTAAAGAGCATATCTGATCGTCCCGTGCTCGTTTGGTGACGGGCTTTGACTTCATGGTAAGATTCCGGTGTTGCAATGCGTTGGGCAATCAGCGTTCCGAGGGGCAGGAACAGGATCACGGACGTGAGGGCCAAAGAGCCAGGTTCGAAAGCCTGCCAATTGCGCCACCCAAAGCCGGCAAATATGACTGTCACACGTGTTAGTCAGATACTGGAGACAATGTGGTAGGGAAAATACGAACCAGGAATGATCATCAGAATGCCATTTGTGATAACCAGTACTTCAACCGCAGACAAGCCCCGCCGCGTCGGTAGAAAGGTTCGGTTCTTCACAAGATGGCTCACCAGCTTGACGTTGAAGAGAGCGCAGTAATAGAATATAGAAGTGCCACCCATGACACTGGTCAGGAGAGCCACCAGTACGGATGGTGTATCGGACAGCGTCAGCATAAACCTGATCTGGCCTACTGCGCTTGCCACGCGAATGCCGATGGCCGTGAAAGAAACACAAGCCGACAGTAAAACTGAGGACCATTTCCAGACAGCGGGTAAGAGGTTGACAGTCGCCCAAGCCTGCAAGCCGAGGACAGCTTGGACCATGATGAAAAGAGCCAATGATGCAATTTCGGATGCGACACTGCACTGCAAATCCTGAGGGGCGACCCGAGAATAGTCGCCAGCAAAGAATGTGTAGAATTCGTTCCAACTGCTCGTGAAGAAGACAGTTAAGAGTACCATGCGAATGATGTTGACGGTCAGGGCGGCGATGTGAAGCCACTGAGATAGCTTAAGGAATCTTGCTGAGGGCGTTATGCAGACCAAGACGAGCAGCAGTATGAAGGAGCTCCCGATCTGGGCGCCATAGTTGATGACCGTTTTCACGCTGTATAGGATGAACTCGTTGACATCGGCAACCGCAACAGGGATTTCGGTAACACCATCAGACGCAATGAGGACGAAGGTTTGTAAGAACGGGTCGGATAAGGCCATAGTGCAGTGTGCTCTTCGTGAATGTTGCCGAATCTCGGTGGCGATGTCACGAAAGCTCTGGTTCGCGATCCTCTTCGGACAATGCCGTGCGAGCAGTTATCGGTGATTGCCCAAGAGGAGGAGAGTATGCGCTGATTCTATTTGATACACAGGCCGGTTGCCTTGAGCCTGTGAAAGCTCAACTCGTGCCTGTATGACCGAATGTATGACCGTCGGGCTTCACCGTAGTGTGCAAGAAAAGGGTGACGCAAGTAAGGACTGATTTTGGATCAGAAGCTTGCAAGAGAGTATCTCGATTCGTGTCATCTGCCTGGACAGATGCAGGCGGAGAGCTAGGTGCAGAATATTGGCTGGATGATGGTGGTAGCTCGTCCTGGTGTGATAGGAAACGATGAGGAGTAGCTGCGCTGGCCGAATATAAAGAATGCAGCCAGCGGCAGTGCTCGGAGAGCATACTGAGCGGCATTCTGTAAGACGAAGAATGGTGTAGCGGGTGGAGGAAAATGGGCATGTTGGCGTAGGAATAGTGGATTGTTCTCTTGATATTGTTCCTGGCTGGTTTGGCAACGACCCTTCGTATTGTTCACCCAAAAGAAGCAAAGGCCTGAGCGCTACATTACGCACAACCCGCCACTCACACCAGTCGGTAGTTCGAATGAGGCTAGATCGATGTTGAAATATTTGATGAAACCGCGATCTCAGCTGAGCCTATGAGTCGCAAGTCGACGAGAGTTGAACGAGGAGCGTGCGTGGTTCTTCAGCGGGAAGGCTGGCCACCTCCCTGGCCTAGGTTCCCGTGCCCTTTCTTGTCTTCGCTACACTGACAATGACCAGATACTCACCACGAATACCATGTAGACGAAACAGGACGACTACCACATCCTCCCACAACAATACAAAGTAATACTATCATATCAACGTGATCCCTAGCCTAGCCCTCCCAGGTCAATAACCAGAAAGGCGGCTGGCGAACGATGACATGTCAGGTACCATAGGCACAGTCAAGCACGTACTTGTACGTGATACTGTATCAGTATCGAAGCACACGGCCACCGATATTTGCCTGATTCCATTGATTTGACCCTGTTGTCCAGCCACCTGACCCTGTCCTCGCCCCCCCGTCCGCTGCGGCCTGAGACAATGAACCTTCCACAACAGCATGAGGGAAGCCTGTTCAGCTTACACACGTGGCCTAGATGGCTCGATTTTCCGAGACACCACATCAATGCGAACCACACTCAACCAGGGCTGTTCAGCTACCTACACTGCCCAGGGGGTTGACACTTTAATCTGGCTAAAGAGTCCGTAGACCTTGAAACCATGGTAGTTCTTCTTGGGTAAAGAGGAACACTGTACAGGTACCGGTGCAACCCGTGAAATGTTTGCCTCGTGGCTGAGTCGACTTGCATACCCTCTCGTCACGGGCCTTGGATCTTGCGACCGCAGGCCCGGAACCCATTGACCAGGCGATTTAAGGCTGTACTTCCTTGCGGACTGTCCGCCTTCTTGAGACACAGATAGCAATGATGAAGAAGCACCCCATGTGTTGATGGCCTGGTTGTCGTCATATATAACAATAGCTGTGCGAAGCCAACCTGTCGTAAATTTCAAATTCACAGACAGGTTATTCAATCGAGTTGAGCACATAGCAGCTTGCCGCACAGATACATCCACTTTGCTGCTTCACCTTACCCGTGAGGCTATTCGTCTCAGCCATGCGTTTCCTCTCAAATATGGGTGGCTTTTTGCTGGTCACAACCGGAGCCCAGGCTTTCTTTGTTGTGCCTTGCTCTCGCCCAGTCGTGGTGCAGCGCGCAGACCCTATAGTCAATCCAGGCGCCCTAGCTGGTCATGTTCACACCATCATGGGCGGCAGTGCCTTCAATTTCACCATGGGCTATGATGACGCAGTATCCTCAGCATGCTCTACCTGTAAGGTTCGGCAGGATTTGAGTAACTACTGGACTCCAAATCTATACTATGAGAGCGAGCATGGCAAGTTCGAGGCAGTCAAGCAACTCGGTGGCATGCTCGTTTACTATCTGTAAGCACCAGCTCGTTCGCAAAAACATACACGCTCAGAGGTTGACCGAGAACGTGGCAGTCAGCGCTCTGACTCCAGAGACCCCGAGTACGAGAATGGCCTACTTGCGTTTCCCCCGGGGTTTCAGATGCTCGCTGGTGACCCCTCGCTTCGAAGCTTTGGGGATACCTTGGAGCAGCGAGCAATATCCTATGTCTGCCTCGGCGTCAGCGGCCCGGAAACCCACCAGTTCCCGCCCCAGAACTGCCCCTACGGCTTGCGAGTACAGGTTATGTTCCCTTCGTGCTGGGACGGACATAATTTAGACTCGCCGAACCATAAGAGTCATATGGCCTACCCGAGCCTAGTTGATAATGGGGTTTGCCCAACAAGCCACCCTAAGCGCTTTATCACACTCTTCTACGAGGTCACTTTTCAGATCGATGATTTCAAGGACAAATGGTACAAGGATACTCCGCCCTTCGTCTACTCCAATGGGTACGTGTGTCCAGTCTTAACTCCTCATACACCATTTCAATTGTTCTACCTGAACGGTTCGTTAATTTTTTGTTGAATAGCGACCCGACGGGTTACGGACTCCACGGTGACTTCGTTAACGGCTGGGATACGGATGTTCTTCAGAGTGCCATCACCAACTGTACTGATGCATCTGGGTCCCTGGACCGATGCCCCTTGCTGCATCAATTCGACGATGAAACGATGAAGGGCTGCAGAGTCCCTGTCCGCGTTGAGGAACAGGTTGATGGAATCCTAAACAGGCTGCCCGGTTGCAACCCAGTGCAGCGTGGGCCGGGCCGGGCCACGCAGCAGAGTGACTGCGGTGCCACTACCACTATCTCGCCTCCGCAGTGGCCGTATACCGACATGACGATTTCCCATCGCTTCAGGTATCGGGGATGCGCCCCTGACGCGTCAGGGAAGAGCAGAACTTTGAATGGCACCGATGTATCGAGTGACAATATGACCGTCGCACGCTGTGTCGAATACTGCGACGAAAGAGGCTTCAAGTACGCAGGGGTTGAGTATCGACGGGAGTGCTTCTGCGGGAACTTTGTTGACCACGACCGCGAGCCGAAAAAAGGTATTCTTGGTGTTTGCGAGCTGCCCTGCACCGGTGACAACAATGAGGTTTGCGGCGGCTATGGGGGTATTTCTCTCTATGAAAAGTGCAGTGCGGGTGCTGCTTGCGAGAATGCGGACTTGGTATGAGCCAGCGTAGTTGACAATGCGAGGCATCCAGGGCGAGGACCAAATAAGGTGGTCTAGATCGATTTCTGTCCATCACGTGTGAGCACCACATTCTTGCCTGGTATTATGGAGTTGTCATGAACTCGATGATCTGAAATTATCATTGTGACTGTCAGACGAGTTCGCAGACCATCCTCTCACAGGCGACCAAGCCACGCGAGCACAGAGAAACACCGTATTCCCAAGAAATCAGTTCCCCTTCCCCATTTATTGTACAGCAGCCAAGGGGCGCAGAAGCAGAGAGACGTCGAGTTGTACATAATCGTCGATTGACCTTGTAAGAACCAAGATTACTGACTGGAAAGGGTCAGGCGTTAGATAGTTGGCAAGAAACATGATGAGATAGTCATGCTAGACTGACGGTGGCAGGAGGAATTCGCCCCAAGAGCTCGAGAGAAAAGATACAGCAGCCTGATGCAGAGATGATTAGTATGCGTGAAGGATGCAGGATCAACTGAAGTCAAAGGTCTGACATACCCCGAAGACGATGACGCTGCGAACGATGGAAGCGTTTTCAGACGAAGTAAGCGCATCGTAGGTTGACGCAAAATATCCCCTTGGCTGTCGCGAGCGCGAGCCAGGCTTCTCGGAAATGAACCTTTTAGGAGGCATTTTGGATTTGTATGCGAGTATATCGGTGCGTAGGGAAGGATGGGTTGCGAATGGGAAGAAGTGTCTTGAGATGTAGCTGGTATACTTTCACGTAACTGGTCGACAGACGGGTCAAAATTTCTGGTTGGATGACTTGGTATCAGCCTCAAGTCGACTCTCTTGTCATGCCTGCTTTTAGATTGGGTGATCTACCTAGGTACCTAGTGGTAGTTATGTAAGCACAGGTTATACAAGACCCACTCTGCCGCTCGATTCCAGCCTTAGATCATGCCTCCACTTCAGCCACCTCTTCGAGACATCATTGCCACATTTGGCTTCTGTGCATTGCGAGCAAGTAAAGAATTATATATATATAAATGAGCATGTTGCATGCCCGGTGCTGGGTTGATTCGCACTGAGTGGAATATTCTTGGTAACGGTTCCGGGTTCCCGCTGTTGGCTCTGAAAGTGAAGTACAATCACTGGGCTGATATCTTCGCTCTTGGCCTTCTCTTACATCATTCCTCCTGCAGTTCCGTTGGTACTTGCCTCCCCCAATTAGCTCTCGCGTTTTGGCGGCCCAAATCCGCGGGTGCTCTGTTGACTGAATCTCTTTCAAACCAGCTTGTCGTTCCGCTTCTGAAAGAACGATAACGGGCAACCCATAGAGGCCTGTCCTACTCCCCATACGGCGATGTCAGACCAACACCAGGCAGGGGCCGCTGGAGGATTCTTTCCTCCCGCATCTTTGCCCTCGCCTGCGCCCAGTACAGCTTCCAGTCGATCAACATCCTTATTGCCACATCCACGAGCTCGCCCACTGCCATCGGGCTCCACCAAGGAAGCGACGGTGAGGAGGTATGTCGAGGAACGCATGACAGTCGTCGCTCGACGCTATGTAAAGAAATTCAGTGCCCCAGACCCCGGCGACGGATTCGTGGGCTACGCGGGGTTCAGCGAGCTGTGCAAGGATCTACAAAGCATCATCGATGTTCTCTGGTTATCCGGAACACGTAAGGCAGCACATCCCTTGAACATCATCATACGTCGGTAACTTGGCCTCTCAAGCGCTGACATGCCATGCAGCAAGTTTGCAAATACCTTTTCTACTCAACGTGGCAAGCGAATTCACTAGGTACATTGTGTCGTTTCCTCCCTCGCCAAGGGCTACTTTTGTCATTTTGCGAAAACTTGACAAATGTTTTGCAAGTCTCTTATGCGGGCAGGACATCGATACGAAAGAACCTCTGCCAGGTTTCGAGAACGGGCTTCGGGCTGGCATGACCACTACCGACATGGTGCGATGCCGGAGTCTCGTGGAACAATCTCGTATCCTCGTAATGGAGGTTCTCAGTTCCAATACGGAGGAGACCGATGATGCTGATCTTGACGATGGCGGGGAAAGTGACACTGATAACGATCGCGATGCTCTTTCCGTGGCGAACCTTGGTACGGGGCAGGGCTCTACCGCCTGGGTCGAAGACGATGAAGCCCGGTTGAGCATGGATGTCGTTCGCGTGTACGAAAATACCATCGTGCAGCTTGGCAATCGGCTAGGTGATACCCTCGGCGGCAAAATTCAGATTGGCATTGGCGCGGAAGACCATCCCAGGCCGGATAACTGAGTTTCTATAGACTGGTTTCATGCCTGAATTTCAAGCTCGGGCTCCAGCTTGTGCTGCCGACATTGTGGTGTGATATCGTTTTCGCAACTGTGAATCGTGGTGAGGGACCTCGACATGATCGTCGAACAATTTCTCCGTCGCTGCTCGGTCGCGTGCGTATTCTTTGAACCTTAGGTGTATGCCTTGAGCACAGAATTACTCGCATATGGGCACCTTGAGTTCGGCTGTCTACCCGGCTCAAACAAGTGGCATTTCGTGGGTCACGGGGAAGGAAGTTACCTCCTTCGCGGCGTGGGAGGCAGGTACAACAGGAGCAAGATGTGACCCTGCCAGCTCCCACTTTGTGTCTTCTCTTTTCCCCTTCATTCTTTTCAAGAGAGCACATTCTCGTGATACGACAGTTGGTTTCCGGGCCGATCGTTGCGCCCCCTGTCTCCATATCAAGCCTGTATCTCGCCTATTTTTCTCACACACGACGCTAAAGCTCTGTGAGCTCTCTTAGCATCAAGGAACCGAGGCCATGCCTAGGAAGAACTGCAGAGCGGCGGATACAGGCGATGCTGTGATACACATGTCATTGCTGCGCTCGGAGAATGAAGCAGGCGATGCTGGCGACGAGATCGTCCCGGCCTATTTCATAGATCCACCCCCAGCGCTGGACGTGGAAGGCGAGGTATGGGCAACCTGTGCTTCGGTCCCAAAGGCCAAACAAGACAACCATGCCAAGCCCAGATTGCCTGAAGGTCTCCAGCAACAACACACATTCACCTTGGAGGAGCATGTCGAGCTTGAAACCAGTTTTGAGGATCAATGGATCATGATGACTTGGCGTAATAGTACAGATGGAAGCCTGGTGGCCCATACAACTGACAAGACACAAAATCAGCTTCTAGTGCTTTGCGCTATACAAAATGCTTTATGCATTCCTCAGCAGGTCGTGGCAGCCCCCCTAGGACCATCGTCCGCTGCGAAAGCCCTGCCAACAAGATACAGAGCCTACGGCGACGAATTCTCATCCGCCGCCAGACAAAGATCAACTCAAACAACACCAAAATTGGCCCTGGCTCGACAACAACGCGTTGGCTCGGACAGCGCAGGCCCCCCCAGCACTGCGGTGGCCAATACTCGTGCAGTACAGCAGCCGACCTTCCTATGCCCGCACCAAAAACATACCCACCAGCATTTGGGTGTCGAGGCAAATAAGAATCGGGATTGGCTGCCCTTACGGGCACGAAGTCTCAATGATCAAAGTGTTGAAGTCCCAAGTCACGGAAAGACTAGAAAAGTATGACAACCAGACCGCGTCACAGACCGACCCAAGGGTCGAATGGCGGAGACAAAGAATAATGGCGCCGACCAGCCCGCCACACCGCAACAGGTGTATGGTTGAAGAGGAACAAGAGACTCCACGGATTACAGACCTTGCTCAGCCAGATAGTGTCACGTTGGACGAGGGTATGACTAGCTCGTACAGCAACATCTGAATTCATATTAAACTCCAAGAATCGTTACCCTCGGGACTCCGAAGTCATGCCGCACAGTCCATCCTTTCGTGCCGTCCTGTGGCAACGTCAGGAACTCCACACCTTCGACGCTCTAACAGTACACAGGCAGGCAGTTCCCCAAGATATCCACGTGCCCAACAACCGACCGATTTTGGAAACTGTCCCCGACTGCCCAATCAATACTTTGCCCCATCAGTAAACTTGAACAGCAAGCCGCGTTCCTACGGACACATTCGTGCTTGGACGTGCCCCCTTCTCGTCATCCTGTATGCGCGTTTATTGTAATGTGCTGGTCGCTCACCCCGAAAAAGAACAATGAAATAGAAGCATAACAAGCCACACAACACCAGCCACAGACCAATTGAAGCCTCAGCGCCATCGCCCTGAACATGTAGCCTTGTGGTATCCCGTAGCAGCGCAAGAAATGAAAGATAACTGTAATGCATCACAACATGATGTCAGAAAACCACAAGATCGCCTAGGTAGGCCGCGTCTCCGGGATTGGAGACGCTATTTGCCGCGCCTGTTGCGTAGCCGTGTCAGCCAGACTCAGTTCTCGCAACATGAACGCTGTCGAGGCAAGATGGGTTCCAAAACCAACGATAGCGTCATGGCACATTGACGAAGGCCGACTCTTATTCGGCTCCAATTTCTCCGCCTTCCATACCGAACGAGCCGGCGTTGAAATCAAACCCTTGATTATCGCCGTCTTCATGGAGGAAAGAGTCAAAGTCGAAGTCATTGAGAACATCGTTCGACACGAGAGGGTTGGCAAAGTCCATGGTGCCAAAATTCATCATGTCTGCTGAGTTATCCATGCCGCCGAAGGATCCATTTTGGGATGCGTCTGGCTGAGCCTGGGGAGGAGCTGAAGCTGCAGGCGGTGCCACGGGGGCGGCGGGAGCTGGCTGCCCGTTTGACGCTCCAGCGGCCGTCGTGTTGGGACCGGCCTTGTTGAAGCCAGCAGCATTGACGGGTGTCATAGGAGTAGCTGGTGTCGGTGGCTCTGCTTCTGCAGCCCCGTCGGCAGCAGGCGTGGTGCCTGCGTTAAGGTTCGAGTTCGACTTCTTGTTTGTGGCAGCCTGTGTTCGCAAATCGATTAGTTCTTTTCTTCTGGTAGCTTTTGGGGGTAGTTCGCAGCGATGCCTACCTTGCTCTTCGCATTCTTCGTGTCCTTCTTCTTTGGGGCAGCCTTGTTTGTTTGTGACGGCGTTGGTGGCGCTGCCGCAGGCTGTTGTGGTGACGAGGTGTTCGTCCTGTTCGTGTTCGGTCCTGGAGCCGAAGGGGGTGGCATGGCTCGTTGTTGCGGGGTGCCCTGGATTGGGCCGGGAGGAACCATCTGGCCATTGGGCGCTGCTTGCCATTGCCCCGCAGGATTCCCACCCGGTGCACCTTGCTGCTGCTGCTGTCTAGCAGCCATCATCTGCTGTGGGTTCATCTGTGGCCCGTTGAAGGGCTGGCCTGGATGGCCATTGTGTGGACGCATGCCATTCATATGTGCTCCAGGAACCATGTTGCCGCCAATGTTCTGCATGTCTTTGCTGAAAAAGTTTGGTGCCATAGAAGGATCCATGGAATTGGGCATAAAGTTCATCGTGCTAGGAGAGCCGCGAGATTGGGCGCCCTCGGGCAATGGCGAAGGAATTCCAGCGTTGTTCATCTGTGGCGTACCGCGCTTCATCTGGTCGGAAGGGATCGGAGAGGCGCCGGTCCTGCCACCTTGAGGTGAAGTCTCTGGGAAGGGCTGACCGTTCGGACCAGTCGGAGCACCAGGGCCGCCAGGACCCGTAGCACCATCGCCGCGAGGCATGCCGCCCATATTATCTTGTTCTTGCCGAGCCATCATGAGTCTCTTCTTATTCTGTTGCTCAAGAAGCATTAGCTGCATTTGATAGTCTTGCAGAGCGTGGTTACTTCCACCGCCAGCTTGGGGACCACCGGGACCAGGTCGCATGCCACCTGGCCCCATTTCTCCCGCATTGTAGTATGCTGTCAGAGCAGCGGCTTGTTCAGGATTCTGCGGCATCATGGGCGACCCCTGCGCCTGAGGACCTCCTGGTGCATTAGGCATCTGCTTGTTGGGCATCTGGCTTGCTTGATGCTGTTGAAGATTTTGGGCATAGGTTGCAATGGATTTTGCCTGTACAGCTGGGGGTTGGTTTGAGAAGGTGTTGAACTGCTGAGGGGTCAGCTGAGCTGGGTTAATGCCGTTGCTTAGAAGCATTTGCGTGGCTTGTGCTGCGTGCTGGGCGTTCCCCACCTGCTGCTGGCCCGGCATGCCCTGTTGTGGTCTTCCGTTGGGCATCATCCCAGGCTGGTTAGGGTTGAAAGGGGCGCCGTCCAGGCGAGGTCGTTTGGAGGGTGAGGGAGCGTTTTCCGAGGAACCGGGAGACGCAGGCCGTGGGCGGTTACCATCCATATCCGAGGGGTCCCTCTGCATCTGATTCTGCTTTGCCTGGTGAAGCATCTGCATAGCTTGAGGACTTGATAAAAGGTGTCGTCAGCTAGCTGTGCATGCATGAAAGAGTTTATCAAGACTCACTTGTTCTGATTGTTGGCCATGGCTGTCCGCGCAAGGTTACCCTGTTTCATCCCCATGGCCATACCCCCATTTTGCATGCTCCGCATCATCTGGGCCTGGTATTGCTGCTGTGCGAGACCGTCGGGGCGCATTTGACGGAGAAGTTCTTGTTGCTGATTCTGGCGCAAGCGTGACTGTTGCTGTGAGGTGTGTCAGCCATCCGGGCGGAGATTTCGAATTCGCAAAGAAGACAAGACAAAAATACATGACTCACTTGTGTATGGCTAACATATTGGTTGACTGGCCCGTTACCGCCTTTGGCACGTTGCGCGTGGAAAATATCCCAGAAGAGACAGAACCATTCATAGAGAAATGACGTCTCGGAGGCAGGCATCGGCAGCTTGGGCGCGGGCAGGTTGTCCGACAGCTTGTCCATGTCATCCTTGGAGTCAGTATCCATGGGGTCGTCACCAAGACCGTTGCCGAGGACATTGCCGTTCTCATCCCTACGACGATTGGGACTGTCCTTATGCACATTGACCTGCGCATCGCTGCCGAGGAGCGCACGAGCACAATCGTACATGTTGTTCCGGATGAAGTACTCATAAATGTACGTGTTGAGAAGTGTTCGCTGGCTCTCAGTGGGAGCCAGCACTGGACGCGGACCGGGCCCGGGGCCAGGGCCAGGAACGGCCTGGGGAGGGACGACACCGTTGTTCATCATCGGCATGGGTGCGCCAACAGGGCCACCCATCGTGTTCATGTTGGGAACGTTCGGGTTTACGTTCATGGTGATGAAATCGCGTCACAGACAATTGTCTGCGAGACAAGGTGGGAGTGGAACGGATGGTTGGCGATGAAGGCGTCGTGCGTGATAAAGTTCGTCGGTGGAGTTAAAAAGGGACAGCAACTTTGAGGTGCTCGATTAGCAATCTCGCTGTGAGCGGTGACTAGAAAGGTTGCAAGTTTGGTCCAAGTCAATGGTTCGATGGCTTGATGTTGAGTTGAGTTTGTAGCGTTCTCTCCGTGGGAGACGCGGAGCGCTAGTAGCCTCTCCTGGCGCGGGACGTGTCGGGGGGCGACAGAGGCCACCGGACGAAGAGCAAGCCTGGGGCAGAGGGGCAATCAGAAGCAGTGGCGAAGGCACTGCTGGATGGACGGAAAGTGAAGAGAGATTCAGTTGAATGGACGGGGGTTGAGGTGCGCGAGTGTCGAAGGCGCTAGAATAGTTGCGAGGTGGGCGCGGCAGGAGGCGTGGGCGTTGTATGGCAGTGGTGACACGCTGGTTTGGCGTGCCGCTCGCGGTAGCAAGGTGTTTTACGGGGCTCGCTTAGTTGGTCTCGCGGATGCAGCGCAGTGGCTCATTCGCAATACGAAACTGGCGAAGCGATGCGACAGAATCGAGTGGCCAAGCGAAAGAATCGGATGCATCAAAAGGCGACCATGGGTAGGCGACACAGACAAGGTCGTAGCTGGAGAAAGAGAGGGGGGCGCTCTGTATGGGGAGGGGGGGGCGCCAGCAGGACGAGTCGATGAAGGAGAAGGGAGTCGCTAGTGAAGAGGGAAAGGATGGGGTTGGGATTTTCCCAATTTTCGTTAGCAGCCAAGTCGAAAGCTAGACAAGGCAGGACAGGGGCACTTAGGTGAATCTGGGTATGGGGAGGAGCTCTTGGGGGACACCCGTAGACCTGGGTGGCAGGCCCGAGAACAGCGATGAGACTTCCAGTTGCGGGTAGAGCTGAGCACGTGTGCGCATTTATCGGCACGTGTAAGCCTGAGGCATACATTCAAAACCATGCCGTCCTGTTGGCCAGCTTCTATAGGTACCTCATGTTAAGGATGAGTAGAGTTATTAAGGACGTACCTATTGAGGGAAAGTTGCACCGTGCAGCGCAAACCGAAAATTGCTTGCTTAGTTGTCATATCTGTAGAAGGGCCTTCCGTACCTTGATTTCTTCACATAGTCTTTGATTGTGACGGTTGAGACGTATTCTATATCACCAAGAGGTACACACAATGCCCCACCTGAGCTGTCCTCCGGATGCCAAGAGTGGCTACCTAATGGGACGAGAAACTCCCTTACCGGTAGCTAGGCGCCTATCTTCCAGAGGGGCGACCCGGCGCCGACCCGGACTTATCCAGCACCGGGGGCACTGCCCCGGCGTAGGCCCGCCCACGCGGTTATTCGGGGGTAGGCATTGCATGATGGCGATATCAGGTCGTCTTGTTCTATGCCCGGAGTACTCAGCCCCATTCCGACCATGATAGGAGATATCAAGCAACAATTCAGGTCGGCATTACCAAACTCATGTGGCAGAGCCGACCTTCACCCACCAATTTCAGAAATGAAAACAGCACAGCCTTGTCCGGATGCTTCGCCTGTCCGAATCGCCAATGCCATTCTTACGTTTCGAGTTCATACTCGCACTCATAAGCCTGCGCTTGAGCGACAGCTTTTTAGCAACAGAGTGATGTATGGGACCAAGAACGAGGCCTTAACTTGACAGGCCTGCTTTCAAGTCCTCCGCTGTCTGCATGTCGTCTCCACTGTCTGCATGTAGTGTTCATCAGCCGGGTTGAAGCTTCAATCTCCACTCATGATGCCGGCCGTGTGAGCTGATTCGAATGTGCAAGGTCAGCCTGGATAGTTGAAAAGACCGACTGCTTTGCAATTCGCTACACACAATTATAAACCGCCCATGCCGAATAGTAATTGAGGCGCAGCACATCTCGGAACTGGGGGCTACTCAATCATCCTCCGGGGGCAGTTCATCGTCAATGTATCGTATCAACGAAACCCTCATTTCCGTCGTATCGTTACCCCGAAGCACATCGCTGATGAAGTGGGCCTCAACTTGTATCTGCACCATTTCAAGTGCCCCTCGAAGTACTCCGCAAAATAGGTTGGAATACCAAAGCTCATCCTGTGCCCGAGCGTCATCTGGCAGCTCGACAAAGTCGGCCAGAGGGTTCTCGTCAAACACGAGGGAGAACTGTTTGTTATCTGTCGTCCAATTGGTAACTTGCGGTGTGATGTTGAGGAAAATTTTGAATCCAACCTGGTGTTGATAACTCGTCAGTAAAAGAGGGGGATGAGCTGGTATTGGCCTCCATAAACGCACTCTCGCAATCACATCCGCAGTCTCTCGGAAATTGGAACACCTCTTCATAGTGTTTGATTTTGCTAGGTAGTCCTCGATCAGGCGCAACCCAATGTTATAGCCCATTTTATCTAGCTGCTTATTGACCTCGACATAATCACTGTCGAAGTCCTTGCACAGCTGGGCAACTATGGTACCGTAAGTGAGTGTAACAAGCTCGGCGTTGACTTTGTCGACTCGAGTCCTGGGGGGGCCGACCCGAGGTTAGGACTGGAAACGCATTGGTAGAGGATCGATTTAACGAGAAAGAACTTGGTGCTTACTTCCATATCCTACTTGTGTTAATACAGAGATCATGGGCACTGAAGTCCTTGGGAAAGGTCACTTACTCCTCACCGAGCCGAGTAGCCTTGTTTGCGGACATTGCCAATCAAGAATACAGTTGAGGGGCTTGGCCTCGACGCTGCAGCTCAGAATGCGATGACTGCCTTGGGAGGTAATACGTGAAGTCTTCGCCGGCTGTGCGAGGAGCCCGTGTCAGGTGATTGTTGCCGGACGCGGTTGGGTGTGAACTGGTGGGAAATGACAGTTTCGTGCGAGAAACAATAGCTACATTGCCGGTCACGACCATAAGGTAGGTTGTTGTGATGCACGGCAGTCGCTCGTGGGTGGCAGGCCCCGACTGTTCCTGACCGTAAACTGGGCCCACGCTGCAGCCCCGACGAACGCATCATATGTATCTACCTAGGCTTTCTCATTTAACGAAATGTTCCTACCACGAACACGTCTCAAATCGCGACAATATAGTAGATCCATCCTTTGCGGGTTTCGGTTTAGGACCGAATACCCCAAGTTCTGCATTTCGTACCTTCCAACGCGCGCGCTGTATCAACAGTTCCCTGTCGGCACACCCCAAGCGTCCGACTGTCCACGAGCCCACGTACAGCACACGTTAATCACTCGCTCGAAATAACACTACGAAGTCATCCGATTTGACTGATCAACTTCACATGTCGGCCGAAAAGCGACCCGCCTCCGACGAGCCAGGCCCCGGGCAGGCGCTGGTTAAGAGACAAAATGTTGGAACATCTTCAAGAGCTCTAGCAAGGCTCAATGCCTCTGGAAACGGCAGTGCTCTTGTTAAGACTGTGAGTCACTCTGAATTTGGTACATGAGTAATGATGATTATCGATGGTTTGCTTACGCATCTTCTCTGTAGGCTCCTCGAACCAGTGGGCTGCAAGCGCCGGTGATGGAGCTGTCCGGCCATTCTGGTGAGGTCTTCGCAGCCAAGTTTGATCCTACTGGCAACTTCATCGCTTCAGGATCCATGGACAGGAGTATATGTAAGCTTGACTGTCATTCGTCGCAGTTGCATTCACAACAATATCGCTGACTTGGTGGACGTAGTGCTGTGGAGAACATATGGCGATTGCGAGAATTACGGTATACTCAAAGGGCACAGCGGTGCCGTTCTAGACCTTCAGTGGTCGAGAGACTCGCGAATTCTCTTTTCGGCCTCGGCCGACATGCATTTGGCCAGCTGGGATCTTGACAATGGCACACGGATACGGCGCTATGTCGGCCACGAGGAGGTCATTAATGCTATGGACATTAGCAGGCGAGGCGACGAGGTGCTCATCAGTGGCAGCGATGACGGTTCAATCGGGCTCTGGGATCCCCGAACCAAACATGCGGCGGACTACATACAAACTGATTTTCCTGTGACGGCAGTCGCCATATCGGAGGCTGGCAACGAAATCTATTCTGGCGGTATTGATAACGACATCAAGGTGTGGGACTTGCGAAAGAAAGCCGTTGTGTATTCCATGCTCGGCCATCAAGACACCATCACTTCATTGAGGGTATCCCCTGATTCACAATCGCTTCTGTCCTATGCCATGGATTCCACTGCAAGAACGTGGGACATCCGCCCCTTTGCACCAACAGAACGCCGCATTCGGACGTTCGATGGCGCCTCTATGGGCTTAGAGAAGAACCTCGTTCGTGCAAGTTGGGACTCAGCTGGCAAACACGTGGCTGTGGGCTCTGGGGACGGCACCGTCACCATCTGGTCCAACGACTCCGGGAAATTGGCATACAAGCTTCCTGGACACAAAGGCACTGTCAACTGCGCCGAATTTGCACCAGGATCTGAACCTATTCGTAAGTGTGAGCTTGGTGGTTGTTTCTTGTCCAATCTAACAAGACGAATAGTTCTCTCGGCGTCTTCTGATCGCAATATGCTTCTGGGCGAGCTACGATGATTCACTTTACACTTGACCCACTGACACATGGCAAACCACACAGAGCCTTTGATGTACTGGATCGGTGGTTTATCCTGAATTACAGTAGGATTGCGGGGAGGCTCAACGCAGTATGGCTACTGTCTCGCTGTCTTGAAGACGTCAAATTACGCCCTGGTTACCGTCTCGGCTTCAAATCCAGGCGAAAGTGGCCATGTGCACTTGCGGTCCTCGGGACCTTCTTAGGCGATGAAAGGGGCCTAGCCAGGGACAAAAATAAAGGCATGAGCCGTTCAGAAGCTCGGTTATGGGAGGGAGACTAGTCACTCACCATATTCTGGTCGGTACACATTTGGACACGCCGAAACGCTATGTTTCTCGGATGTCTCTAGGATGCTGTATGGCGGTTTCCGGGCGCCGCGCACAGGCGGGCGCCTGGCTGCAACTAGTACGCACTTGAGAAATGATGCTGGCTTTACTACATCAGATAGGTAGGTTGTTCAAAGACAATAACATGGCCGCCCTTATTGGTTGATCCTTCATCGTGCCAGTAGCCCACCACAGCCTTTCATCTGTAGGTTATGCACGGGTCTCACCAATGTTTAATTATAGCCGGTTCTGTCATTGATGTGCTGTGTTTGGATGGGAGTAGGTTTATAAATGAACAGGTCGCGACCCATTGCTTTACATTGGATTTCATAAGCTGCTACCGACATTTAGAATAGTAAACGATATTGGCTTGAATTTCTTGAGAAAGCGTACAAAAAAGGTTACATTTCTTGATTCAAAATGATGAACAGGAAGGAATGCAAGGTACAGAAGATAGTTCCATTTTGAACTACCAAGGAGACAACAATTGGGTGACGTTCCAATTTAGGTAGGCATCTTAGTGCTGTTTTGTACTTCAGCTATTGATTCAGGGCCAATCAGCCGATCGTCAAAGCTGCGTGGGGTCTCGAACAGGGAGGGGGTTCACACGAAATCCGAAACCTGGTCTGCCCCATCACCAAACCCCGTGCCCCTGCGTGTCCAGGCGGCAGTCGGACAGCATCATACGTGTCGGAGGACAGGCAAAGTATGGCATGGTCAGTGGCAATGAGTGTCATTTCGGTTGATGGAGCGTACTGTCTGGGAACCTTTGGGGTTTTTGGCCCCTGGCACGTCTCGTCTGAATGGACGGAACATAACCCTGCGACGCAGCGATCGTGTTACATTTCCTCACCCCTCGTCCTAGTTGCCCTCCCCTCCCTTCACCTGTCCCTTCCAAGAATCCCGTACTCTGTACCCATAGCGCAATCCTTGGTGCAGGCCGACATGTTCTTTGACCTGACACCATCCGATCCATTCCCCCCCAACCAACAACATATTTACCCCTAGCTGTCTCAATCCTCGCCCCTCGCATAATATTGATCAAGCATGCCTCTTCCCGCCTCCCCGAGGCCCAACTCAGGCAAACTTCTCGTCCCGGGTGGTGTCACAAATCCGCAAGACTGATTGTTGTCCGAGTACTTCTGTTCGTCAAGATACACATCCGTTGAAGTGGGTACCAGCGATCAATGTCGTGGCTCACGAATATACACTGACAGAAGGCAAGCACTGACTGACTGATACCTCGTAGCGACAAGGACTCTCCCGACTAGCAACAGTTACTGTCTGGCATCGGAGTGCGCTGCATTGCCCTGCAATAGGAATCATTACTTCACACTTCAGCAACGACCCATGTTCCAGGCCATGAACAAAGTTACTGCATAGATCGCCCTCTCTCTGGTCTGACGATACCGGCCGATGGATCGCCTGGATCGGGGGCGCGCTGCGGGGGATGGGGAGACCGAACAGCGGACTGTTGAGTTGCACGAGGCTGGCGGAACTGCAGTCGCGAACGAAATGGAACAGGCCTCCTCATGGCGCCTAGGTCCGCTTTCAGTGCGGCGCCCACAACCTTTCACAAGACGATCAGCCGATGACAATGCACCCATCACGAGCCTCAGTAACGAAACTGGCGAAGCCGGTGACAGCCCCAAGACTCCACGATTCAATCTCAGCTTCAGCCTACCACCTCTTCGAATCGACAGAAATGAGGGAATTGATCAAGGCATTTCTCCTCAATTCAACCAGCGATATATGATACCGATTGCTGCGTCTCGAGCAGGCGAAGTCGAACACTCTCCTTCGATGCGATCAAACGCGCCGATGTCGCCGGTTCATTTGGCTGGAAATAGATGGCCCGACGCGCGTGGGTCGGACGGCTACGCACAGGAATCGAGAGCTTTAGAAGGAGGGGACCGACAATATCGACGCTCCAGACAACCAGGACGAAGGACGTGGCTGGGCCTCAGGCAGCCCGGCCATGCTGGCACTCGACCGAAACGCTTTTTGTTCTGTTTGCCGCGGACCGCCTCACAACGTGCTCGGTCCCTGGCTGTGCAGTGCTTCGTCTCAGGGTGTCTGGTGATCATGACTTTAACTGTTTGTAAGTTGTATTGCTAGTCAACACTAGTCTCCTGTGTGTGGTAGCGGCGAGGAACGCGGTCTAACGCAAGCTTCAAATAGATCTGGCCTTGACTGTCTCTGGAAAGATCCAGCAGAGCGAGTTCACGGTACTTCTCATATTGATGATACTCTTTGCCGCCGTCTTTTTCAGTCACAGAGTGGTCCGGCTCTGCCTGCTAGTGTATCGGCCGCAGCCAGAGCAACCAGTGGCTCATGAAGAGCAGCATCTCGGGATCTTTGCGGTGCCGGAAGAGCCGATTCGAGTAGTCCTGGCACGGGACGAAGAAGAGGGATCCGAAGTTGGACAGCAAGCCATCAAGAAACCAAAGCCGCCTCCGTACGGTGCCTGGCGGCAGAGTGTGGTAAGAACCGGCACCTCCCTTGTCGTCCGCTCTGGCACATGATGAAGTGGATCGCTGACGAGTAGATATGCTTGAAGCGAGTCGACCCTGATCGCATCTACTGGCAGCGCAACCCGAACGCGGTATTGAATGAGCCACTGCCTGCTCGAGGCGACTCAAGAACGACAGAGATGGGGAATCCAGGCGCTTCTCGACCGCCCTCATATGCTTCAGAGGATGGAGTTGACTATGTTGTGGAGGCTAGGCCTCGCTCCATAGCACCTGCCGCAATGATGGAAATGCCCACGCCTCTGACCATCCACCCCTCGGAAGTGGGGCGGCTGAATGGAAGGCAAGCTCCGTGGTGAGTGTGCGACTGGAATCGGGTGGTTGCCTACACCTTAAGGTACCTTAGTTGCAATGCATGCGTGATTCAATGTTGTTGTCATACAAAGGCTGGTTCGATGTCAGCTTGAGCTCGGTAAAAGGTCAGATACGTGGAACAGGACCGTGATCTCGGGAGGAGCCACTGAGTACTTGGACAGTCAGATACAGCATGCTTGTCGAAGCTATATCACGTGTCGCAAACGTGACGGTGGAGTGATTACCCACCCCACAACCATGTTGAGTCGAAGCGACCCCTCCCCCCGGTCCCGGGGCAGGCGCACGGTGCCTGGCCCTCATACGCCAGTCACAGGACAGCACCAGGAACGAGGTGTCCACCACGATGGGTGCCTCTCCTCTTTTGGGCCTTGGGGCACTCAGCCTATGGTCTGTGTCTCCTCACTCGCCCATGCCCTTCTCGCTCCCCTTTCCGCTTCCGCTTCCACCAAACATCGTCACTTTCTTGAAAAATTTTCCACTCGAGAACCCCTCTCGGGCTGCTGGTGGTGAGAAGATTGGAAGGTTGTCGTCGTCGACGGTTGTTGCTGGACTCAGGAGAACACTACTTTCCGCTCATCGAAGAAAACAAACCCCCCCCCGCCATCCCCCCAATCTTCGTACGATTTTCCAGCAATCCGCTACTTTACTCGCAAAACAAGGTAAGCTGTCTTCCCTCTATCTTCTTGCTCGTCAATTGCTTTCGCACGACGGAGGCCGTGTACCCCCCTCCCTTATCCGCATGTCCCGTCTCCCCTCCGCTCCCCTCGGCCGAGGCTGTGTACCCTATCACGCATCACGTCGTACCACCACCACCACAAACTACCACCATGGCCAGTTGCAACTGCAGCATGCTTGCGCCTGCCTCCCAACGCCAGAGATGGGCGACACAGGCACTACACCGCTGAGATCCCTCGGAGCTCCTTGATACTGTTGTACCCGTCACGAGTCCGCCTACGAAACTAGACAACTCCGGTCGCATAATTTCGCTTGAGAGTGCGTCGCATCGCATTGCAGAGCAACATCCTGCATCCAAACCCGGTTGCTCTTTTGCGCCGCAAGACACACGCCCGCGATTTGCCTTGTTCGCCATCCTACCATGCTCGCTTGGTGCGCCAGGCCTTAATCACATACTGCGACTGAAACTTGCCAAGCGCACCTGCGCAATTCATCGAGTCAACTGTTGAACACCATACGGATCAGCTGAACTGTTCTGCGGGGATTGTATATCGACAACCTACAGGTCTTAATGTCGCCTCTTGGACCAGTGGCCGGCCGTCCTGATGAGCAAAGCCTGGATGGAACCTTGCTGACAACGTCTGAGGCAGATCATCATTGTCCACGTCATGTCTTCCCTCTCTCGCCGCGCCTGCTACAAGTGTGGCAATGTTGGCCACTATGCCGAGGTCTGCTCCTCTGCTGAGCGCCTTTGCTACAACTGTATGAATCCCATCTGCTAAATATTCGTGCGCCACTCCCACTGACTATCTACTAGGCAAGCAACCCGGTAAGCTGTGAGGCGTCAAGCCATTAAATATGAATCACTCACTGACTTGAACAATGAAGGACACGAGTCCAATGGCTGCCCTCTGCCTCGTACCACCGAGGCTAAGCAGTGCTACCACTGCCAGGGCCTTGGCCACGTTCAGGCCGACTGCCCGACTCTTCGCTTGAGCGGTGCTGGTACTAGTGGTCGCTGCTACAACTGCGGCCAGCCTGGTCATCTCGCCGTAAGCCAAGCTCCGTCTACCAATGCAAGTCTCGATCTGCGTTCTGACGAATTTCATGTTTCCAGCGAACCTGCCCTACCCCAGCTGGTGTTGGCCTGGGTCGTGGTGCTCCAGTTCCCCGCGGCGGATACGGTGGCTTTGCACGAGGCGGCTTCGCCGGCGGTCCGCGCCCCGCAACCTGCTACAAGTGTGGAGGACCTAACCACTTTGCGCGCGACTGCCAGGCTCAAGCCATGAAGTGCTACGCCTGCGGCAAGCTTGGCCACATTTCTCGCGATTGCACCGCGCCCAACGGTGGACCGCTCAACACCGCTGGCAAGACCTGCTACCAATGCGGCGAGGCTGGTCACATTTCGCGTGACTGCCCGCAGAAGGTCGCCAACGGCGAGATTCCTAACGATGTTGTCGACCTCAACACTGCGGCCAACTTGGTACCGCCTGTCGCTCCATTGGCTCCCGTTGCCTAATAAGACAAAGCCCGTCTCCCGCCCCTGTTACTGGTCGGACAGGCACGCCTTGTCACCTGCGCTGGCCCGCTTTCCAGGAGTCTCGGCTAGGTCACTTGCTTCGGTCTCTATGCCGTCGTACCTAGGCCGAAAATGATCTTGCTTTAGAACTATCATCACAACGACCTCAAGTATTTTTTTCTTCTTTCACGCTATTCATTACGCACGGGCTCACGCTATCCACACGAAACGTTACTCATGGACATAGGACGCATCACTTGTTTTTATCTCTACGGCGTCTCGGACACATTCCTCTTCTTCAGCTCTGTCGGATTTTCAAACCCTCGGACACGGCTCAAGCTTTCATTCAATGAATCAAACATTCTTTCGACTACAACTCCTGTAATACGGTCCTTGGCTATTACGCAAGTCCAGCTCGCGCACAGTTCTCGCGGTGGATGAGAAGGAGGAAACCTACAATTACCAATTACTTCACGGCCTAATGCCCCTGGGATTTATTTTGGGTACGGCGAACGTAAGGCCCGGGTCTTCTTGTAGGCCCCGGCTACGTTTCAGCGGCAAATGGGACAGCGCAGACAGACGGTCATCGAGTAGAGACTGTTGGCAGAGTGGCATAGCGAGCCGTTATCGTGCGACACTCGTGGTCAGCAGCTGTGCGACTTCTTGGGCGTCTTGAAGAAGTTAAAATCACGGAGCATCGGTGAAGCTGTCGGGCCTGGTGGGCGACGCAGCATGATTTTCTGCCCGACGACGGCACTAGATACCAAGAGTCAATCGCAGAGGCTCTGGACCGACAACCCCTCTTCTAAAGAAGGCTCAGTTTGAGATTGGTTGCAGTGGTAGCTGGTTGGGTTGAGAGGAGGGAGTGACTGTGGCTACGTAGAATATTTCACTCGAACGGCGAACGAACAGGGACGTCAGTCGACATGATTGTCGCGATGCAGACATGAAATACCTCGTACTACTTTGCACTGCTTCCAGGTGTGCGCAGTAAGCAGACGCGATATTGCCTTCCACCGGGCGCTCGATGATCGAGGCCTAGATCTGGTCGCTAGGGGTTTCCGTGCTTGTGTACTACTTTCGCAGACCACGTTGGCTCACGCTGGTGGTTTGTGCTGTGTACGAATGCAGACGCGCATGCAGACGCAGTTTACCATGTGCTCACGCGGATTACTGCACCGACGTCCAATCATGGTGGCGGTGGGAACCATGATGCTCAGCCTCATATGCTTGCATCTTTATGGGCAGCTGCAACCCCTCTCCGCGTGGCGGTCGCTGCCTGGGTCTGGTGAAGCATGACATGTTTCCAGCTTTGCGCGACCCGAGCACGTTGGTGTCTTGACCCTCATCAACACGCCACCTCTCCCCGTAATACTGCATCCTTTGTGCCGACGTTCGTCGTTTATTCTGCGTCTCGTTGCGCGCTACTTCGTATTCTTCATTCGTCTGCCTGTGCCACCAATCAGCCTAGGATTGAGGTGCCAGCCCACCATCAACGACACAATGGCCGCCGTAGCCGCATCTAAAGGCAAAAGGATACAGCAAGCGCCTCAAGCGGCCATTGACGAGTTCTGGGATAAGTTTACCACCAAAGCTCCAGGCAAGGGTATCATACATGCACTGTAACATTTTGTAAATATGACTTGAAGACTAATCAACGACCGGTAGCCACTACAGTTATTCCCAGGAACCCCCACGTCGAAAAGGCAGTCAAGAGAACGACACACACCTCATTCGATGAAGCGGTGGCCCTCTGCCGGACCAAAGTGCGCAAGATCGTGGATGAATGCCGCGCTGTTAACCAGAAGTATCGCGACCCGCATTTTGATCTTGAGTTCGATTTGAAATTCGGAAGTCGAAATTGTCTCGACTCTCTTTGGAACATCAAAGATAGAGAGCCGCCGGATCCTTTGCTGCGACCGAGGTCCATCAAACGGGTGGTTGACATATTTGATGAGCCTCAATTTTACATCGACGACGCTACTGCCAACGATGTGCGCCAAGGTCGTGGGGGGGATTGTTGGCTAATGGCAGCCCTGTGTGGCCTCAGCAATAAACCTGGCCTGATCGAAAGGGTGTGTGTTTCGCATGACCAGGAGGTCGGCGTCTATGGCTTCGTCTTTCATCGTGACGCTGAGTGGTTCAGTGTCATCATTGACGACAAGGTACGATGGAACCCCTTTTTCGTCTCAATCACTTTCGCGGTTGGCAAGTAAGCATATTGGGGTCACCACCTGACCTCAATCGATAGCTTTACCTCACAAAGCCTGATTACGACGAAAGCTACCTTGAACGGAATCTTTGGGATGACCGAGAACGCATCAACTCAGAAGATGCCTACCGCAAAATCTACCAGTCAAACAGCGGCGCCTTGTATTTCGCCCAATGTGAGAATCCAAACGAAACGTGGCTTCCGCTATTGGAAAAGGCTTACGCGAAAGCTCATGGTGATTACTCTGCCATCGAGGGCGGTTTTACTGGCGAGGCCGTCGAAGACTTGACCGGAGGGGTTACGACTGAGCTTTATACCACAGATATTCTGAGCAAAGAGGTTTTCTGGAAGCAGAAGTTGCTGCGCGTGAATCAAGATTGCCTCATCAGTTGTTCGACTGGATTTGCTTCAAGAGGCCGGGGTGAGCGTAATGGAATCGTCGAGATGCATGCGTACAGTATAATGAAGGCAGTTGAGCTCAACGGGGAACGCCTTGTTCACCTCAAGAATCCATGGGGCAAAGGAGAGTGGAAAGGTCAGACCAAATACGTTCTTCTCCTGAGAATGTGTTCCCCCCCCCCCCCGTCTTGCATAATTTTTGCTAACGAAATATCAGGTGCATGGTCTGATGGCTCGAAGGAATGGACTCCAGAATGGCTACGGCAACTCAACCACACTTTCGGCGATGATGGAGCCTTTTGGATCTCTTATACCGACCTCTTAAAGAAGTATTCAATGTTTGACGTTACTCGCCTCTTCGGCTCCGACTGGACTTCGAAAACGAAATGGACCACTCTAGAGGTTCCTTGGGTTTCGGACTACCACAAAACTTCTTTCGCTCTGACTATTACTAGGGCTGGACCGGTAGTCATCGTGCTATCACAGCTGGATGATCGCTACTTTCGAGGCCTGGAAGGTCAATATCGGTTTGATCTTGGCTTCCGCTTGCATAGAGCTGGCGATGGAGAGGCCTATGTCGTTCGCAGCGAGCCTGCATACCGAATGAGAAGATCGGTCAACGTCGAGCTTGATCTTGAAGCTGGCGACTACGAAGTCCACGTCCGTGTTGAAGCCACTCGCAACGACGACCTACTTCCCACCCATCAAGTGATTCGCAAGTACGCCAAAAGTCGGCGAGACAAGTTGATGCATACCGGATTGGCATATGATATCGCTCATGGGAAAGGTTTAATGGGAGCCAAAGCAAAATCTACGTGCGCCTCTGACGAGAAGGTGCAGGGTGCCCACGAACAAGACCAACTACGCTCGACCATTCGAAGCATACTCCAGGAAGGAGAGAAGCGGAGATCTTGTGATTGGACAGGAAACCAGGAGAGCAGGTTTACGAGGACCGGTCGCACGGTTTGGCGTCAGCCAGAAGTAACTTCTGACAATCGCAGTTCCAACAGCTCTGACGCCGGTCACGAAGGCAGCGACTGCATTGCAACTATGTTAGAAATGCGGGGGAAAGAGATCGAGAACGCAGCGAGGAATAAAAATACGGGCAACCCGACCAACAACAACACAGGCTCCCCGTGCCACTGTCCTTCCGCCTCAGCATTGCCCACTTCAGAAGAGCCGGACGAATTTGAGATGAACCCCTGGAACGCTGTAGTTGTGGTTGGTTTGAGGGTATATCACATGGTCGGGCCCGAGTCGCAAGCCCAACAAGAAACAGGTGATGTGGTCACGTTGCAGGTCCTGTCTCCCCAGACCAGGGTCGAAGACGAATCCTCAGATACTGCCATGCAGGTTGCGGAGACGACAAAGGGCCTTGATATTGACGACACGGAAAAAGATGCGACTCTAAATGGGGGTATCAAGCAGAGGAAGAAAAGCATCGTGGTCCGCACGAGTGACGGCTGATGCTGATGCATTATCATGGGGCAAGGTGTCACCTGTTGAATAGGTGGGTGGCCAGTTCTATTCGTGGCATCCCGGCCTGGTAGCAAACGCCAGCGACAGTAACCTAAAGTATCGATACCAAGTAATACGTTATCATGTATCTCATCAGTCGTTACTGGTTTGCAGTCCCCTGAAATGTTGCCGCAAATGACTGGATCAGAATATCAGAACTCGCGCAGTAGTTGTTGGGTTTTGTCTGCCTCAGCTCCAGCGATGGAGTGACTTTCTTTTCCACCCTCATTGTTCGGTGTAGGCAATGATGCAATGCGACCACTGACCCGCACAAGCAGCATGCGCATACGCTCCAGCTCCCTCTCGACCTCGCCGCCGCGAGTGACTACGTTTTCTTGCAGACCAAGGCCGTTGTCACTTATACGGAACGGCTGAATGGCCTTCGACAGACGGCGCAGCTGCTCGACGCGCTCGTGTACCTGTGCCCGCCTCGCAACGAGAGCATTCAGGACAGATACATGGTCAGCATACCGCTTGGCCTCCATGGGTAGAGCATCCAAGTCCTTTGACAAGGGCCAGGTGGGCGGACATGAGGCGATGGACTTTTCGTCAGCTACGGGCCGAAACGATGGAAGCGTTAGCCAGGTTACCAAAAGGTACGGAGTGGGAGGGGGGCGATTTCGCTCATACTCAGGTCGGCGTTTGTAGCGATGAGCTCATCGCTGTCCCACGTTGTCGTCTCATCCTCGGTCTGGTACAGCTTATCGATCTGTTCCGCAATGAGGCGCGTTGACTGTGGAGGATAGATCCGACGGGCGTGCTGCTGAAGAATTTGGGCAAGGCCGAGGAGCGCGTCATCAATTGCAGCAACCGGTAAGGGCTCGACTGCCGCCGCATTATCAGCGCGCCACCGGCGAGTTGGGGTAAGATCCCGAGAAAGCAAACGCGTCTGCGATTCGAGAAACGCCTGTTTCAGGGAGATGACTGTGGGCAGCGCATGCGGCACCGGAGCATTCAAGGCCATGACGCGCGCATGGAGGTATCCAGTACCAGCCGATCGGGTTGGAGAGGGCGATTGTTGTACATGAAAGGTCACCGAAGAGAGAGAGGTGCTTGATCAACATGACGCGGTATCACGTGATCGTGTACCAACAAGCGTAAGGTACATGAGGAAATACAGGGCTTTACATCAAGGCTGTTTACGAGGAGAGATAATTGGTGTTGGCTATTATTGTTTGAATTCGATCTTCTTGAAACCTTTCTGCATAATAGGTCGTGGCACCCTGTTTGATTCACACACCGGACCACCAATATGTCTCAGCAACAGTGAAGGATCCCCTGAGCGCCTTATCCGTCACGACCGAGCTGTCGGCAACGATGATCTCGTACTCCCCCTCTTCAGCGCACCATTGGTGCCTGTCTTCGTCCCAGTAACTCGCAGCATATTTGGGAGAGAGGTTGATGGTTGCCTTCTTGGTCTCCCCCGCCTCGAGCGCCACTTTGCCAAAGCCCTTGAGTTCTTTCAGGGGACGATTGACCTTCGTTGCTTTTTGTCTGGGGGCCACATAGACCTGAATCACTTGAGCGCCGTTGATGGACCCTGTGTTCTTAACTGATAGCTCCACCTTCAGGTTGTGATTCTGATCCGAGACGGCCAGATCGGAGAACTCAAAGGTGGTATAGGATAGACCGTGGCCGAAGGGGAAGAGGACGGGGCGGTCTATGTACTCGTAAAACCGATAGCCGATGTATACGTCCTCGCCATAGAATGTACGTGCAAACTCCGCACGATAGTTCAGGAACGCCGGGTTGTCCTGTACTCGAATAGGAAAGCTCAGAGAGAGCTTGCCAGAGGGGTTCACGTCGCCGAAGAGAACGTCCGCAATAGCGTTGCCGGTCTCGTTGCCGCCGTACCATGCCTGGATGACGGCTGCTACATCATTGATCCATGGCATGGTGACCGGTGTGCCTGATTGGTTCACCACTACCGTGTTGGGGTTTGCTTTGCCGACGGTTGAGATGAGTTTGTTGAGATAGCCAGGCAGGTCCATGTGGTCGCGGTCGTGGCCCTCAGTCTCCCAGTCGGCATTCAGACCAGAACAGATAACGACCTGATCAGCATCTCTTGCTAGTTCTGCCGCTTTGCGTATCTCTTCCTTATCGTCGATGACCTTACAGCCGCCGATACGTAGTGCGCCACCGCCGAAGACGACGTTATTGCCCTGAAGCTTGGATGCGGGGGCTGACGTGAATTGGACTTTGAAGGTATAGGTCTCGCCCTTCTTGAGTTCGGTCGTGCCCCTTTCTTCTACCGTGGCAGTGCCGAAAAACGCATCGCCTTGGCGCTGCTTCGTCTCATTATCGATGACCAGCTTTCCGTTGACGAAGAGGTTGGCCGTACCGCAAACTATGAGACCAAGTTCATATTCACAGTCCTCTTCGGCAACGAAGGAGCCCTCTACTTCGGCGTACCATAGCGGGTTTTTGATTACGTAGTAATCAACGAGGTTGAGTTCTGTGTTCGTCAGGATGCGTTCGTCGACTGGCTTGCGAGAAGTAACATTGGGGGGGTCGGTATATGCTCGGAAGACCATTCCTCGCTCCCCGGACGGCGACTTGACTACGTTGCCCAGTAAGGGCAATAGCTTGTGGGAATAGGCGCCTTGTGCGTAAATAGGCTCGGATTCAAGCTTTTGACTGATACCATCGAAGGGAGTCACAGCGTAGTACGCTGCAAGAGAGGCTGAGCCGCCGCCGTGATAGGTTGCGATTTTCGCATTGGGACCGATGATGACAGTCTTATCGAGCAATGCCATTAGCTTTGGCAACCTTGAATGCTTGGGTGGATGGAGGGGCCCGATGGTGGCGGGCGTGCACAGCGGGCGTGAGACCTACCTTCTTATTCTTCTTTAGCGGAAGCACGCTGTTCTCATTCTTTAACAGAACAAGGGACTCGCCGCCAATCCGGCGCAAAAGTTCCGCCGTCTCAGGCGTGTCGCCTGTCTTCTCCTCTGCATTTTCTGGGATGCCGAGCTTCATACATTCCTTGATGAATACAAGCATAGCACGAGCTCGCTCGTCCAGCACGTGTTGTTTGACCTTGTCGGTAGAGACGGAGAATTTGAGAAGCTCGCCACGGAAGCGTGGCGGGCCAGGCATCTCGAGATCCAGGCCGGCATTGGCAGCGTCGGTCGTAGTGTAAGTCCCATACCAGTCGCTCATGACCATACCGTCCCATCCCCACTCCTTCCGGAGCATCTTTTCAAGGATATCGGGATTCTCACTGCAATACACACCATTAACGCCGTTATAAGCTGTCATGAAGGCTCCCGGCTTAGAGTCACGGACTGTCAGCTGGAATGGCATGGCGTATATCTCGCGCAGAGCGCGCTCGGTTAGTATGCTTTGTACGGCGTTGCGCCTGTGCTCCTGATCGTTGCAGACAAAGTGCTTGGGGGTGGCCTGGACGCCAGTGCTCTGAATACCGTTGCAGATGGCAGCAGACCCGAGGCCAGCCAGGACAGGATCTTCGCCGATCGATTCGAAACCACGCCCGCCAAGGGGCGCGCGTTGCATGTTGATTGTTGGTCCGAGAATGCAATGGGCTCCCTTCAACTTGGCCTCCTCGCCCATCTTTCTGCCGGCCTCCTCGAGCAGAGCAGTGTTAAAGGTGGCGCCAAGAGCCGTGCCACAGGGGAAACAGGCGGCTTTAACACCATCGAAGAACCTGGTTCCGCGGACACCGTTGGGGCCATCACTGAGGCGAACCGAGGGAATTCCATGTTTATGAAGGGCCTTGGTGTGCCAGAAGTCGATACCTGAGCAGCGGTTTCAGCATATGTCGCATTGGCAACTCTTCGTCTGGGCTCCGATCTTGAGATGTGAGGGTACAAACCTGCCAGCAAATCAACCTTTTCGGAATTTGTGAGCTTCTTGAGCAGAGCCTCGACGTCCAGCTCGACAACCATTGTAGCGGAGATGACACGAGCGGTGTCTAGCAGGCGGTCCAGATGAGAGGTAAACGTAGGATGAGGAGAAACATGGCATTGGGTCTTGTCAAAGAAAGACTAGAGCTCAACCCTATTATATCACTCACATCCCTTTTCTTGTGTGACGCCCAAAGGCAGGCGGCAGCGGCAATGAGGCACGAACTCCACGGTCGTGACCCGCGTCCATTTGATTTCTCCAGTCTCGGGCAGTTTCCCCGCCGCCCCCTTCGCGGGGACCGACAGCAATCGGGTCTTGGCCGGCGCGGGGCTGCCCGCCCACAAGCCTTGGTCATGTTTTCTCTTCGGCGCGGCCAATGAGCAAGCTGTAAGGCCGCGAGCTACCTGAACGACGTCCCGATATTCCGTCTATTCTCCTCATCAAGTGGAGTAGTCATCGTGGGTAAATGCCTAGGCTAAGGTGCTGATGTCCTCAGCATCATGGCGCCCCTCATTCTTGTCCGACGTTCAAGCGAGGTCATGCCGACGCCGAGCCCCCAATAACCGATAAGACAGGCACGTGATCCAACTATCTTCTCTGATGGAGGTGACGGCTCCAAGCTCACAGCTCACGCCTGTGTCCTGGTGGCACGCGAGACCCCGCATGCATCCCTTTGGTTGTAGTGCAGTCTCGAAGTGGCCAAACCCTTCCTTTCACATCGCCTTTTAATGTTTGTGACCGGCTTTTCGACTCCCTCTCAGTTTAACGGCCACTTAAGGGTCGAAAAAGAGATCTCACCTGGACCGCGCGCCTCGAAATTGTCTTGTCTTCATGTCGATGGGATCTAAGGCGACCGCCGTCATGTGAGCTATCGAAAGCGCGTCATACAACGGCAGCCATACCAGCCAAAATGGGCCCAGGGACGAAGAGTGCAGCAAAGACCCGGGCGGCCTAACTTTCGTCTTCCGCACGCTCCCAACCACGTCGCTTGACACCTCACTACGAATAGGCTGTTCCTGTTGTCTTCTCGGTGCATTCATCATGCGCATCTCCCCCGACACCGAGCAGGTTGAGCAGTGACTTGCAAAGGTAGCATCGCTCCCCCCCTCCTCAAGTGTCTTGAAGTCCGTGGCTGCCAGCCAGCATGAGCTAGACGATTGCGGAGCACGTACGATGGCACGTCCACACCTCAATTTATTGACCCGTGTGTGTGACCATGACGTTGACGGAGGTCGGGGAATGTTGGCGGTTGGCGGCTTCTCCCCGACGGCCACCGTCAAACCCTTGAACGGCCCCCCACCGACACTATCGCGAAGGGAACAACAGCCAGTGCCTGTTGGTTTCTCTTGGGGATGGCTTATGGCAATCACGGCGCATGCCGTGCACAGCACAAACCTTGTTCTCCCATGATTGATCATCACTGGATTCATGGGGGCTTGTAGACAAGCCCCCCCCTCGACAGTCTGATCGATCCGTTCGCAGGATCCGCACTCACAGGAAAGAGACATACGCGTCCCTCTACGGAAAGCCTTCCGTTCCCGTTCCCGTGGCTGACGGACTGCGCGAGAGAATGAGCGAAGAGAAAATGGAGTCAACAGGGGTGGCCAGCCTGCTCGTCTCGCATCGCCGTCCCCTCTCAACAACGTCTTCCCCGCCGGCCTAGTCCACGATTTACCACGCCCCACGAAAGCGGAGGGGTTAGGGATGACTGGAGTTGCAGCGATCGCTACTATCGCTAGGTGATGGCCAGATCGATGGTTACTCAACAGCCAAGATCGTCGACATTACTGATGAGTTTTCTCATCTCCTGGCCAGTGCCAGTATTGCGTACCATCCAAGACGCATGCCTCCCTTGCTTAAGCCGCGCCTCAAGGTTGTTTACCCCCTTCCTCCCTACGGTAGCCCCATTGTCCCGCTGTCACTTACTCTGTGACGGCACACTAGCGTACCGTGCCAACCGTCCGAGGCATCCTTCATGGGATATCCCGAAGGCAGGCTGTTGACGCTCGAGAGGTCAAGAGAACCACTTGCGCACTATCGCAACTGCCAAGTACATGTAGGTCAGCCCGGCCAGCAGAACCACCCGCTTCATTTCATTGTTGCGACCCAGAAGCGTTATTTCCTGACAAACGAGGCATGGATGCGAACTCTCGCAGACGCACAGGAAGATGCATGTACAGGGGGTGAGAGAGAGGAACCGTTTCTCTCCGTATGTTGTTCAAGCACGGACCGAGCAGCTGCCCTCAGAACACATGGCGTTCCAAGTAGGCATCGGCCCCATTCCGAATGGCAAACAACAGGTGAAGCGTACCGAGCACATGTACCTCAAGGAGATCTCCCTTCAAGTTGGCAGGGGCTACGGCTGGTAAGGAATGAATAGGTGCCAGAAACGTCCAACCAAACGCAGCTTGCTCTCGCTCGTCATCTCTGTCTGACCCTGTGCCCTGCTTGCCGGCCTCGCCAGCCCTGCGCTACCCTGCTTGGTCAGTGGATGGGCACAAGTTCAAGTTGGTGATTGCGTGGCGACGGCAGATGGAACAAGGGCATGCCGGCTGTCCATGGGATTCTCCGCATCCTAGCGTCCTTTCGAAGAAGCCTGTTTTGGGGTCTTGGTCTCGGCCGTGTATCTCAAAGGGAGTTCTGTGGCTTGAGCCTCCTCGCGTGATGTCGCGCGACGCGCCCAACCGTTGGTTGACCTAACAAAATGCCGAGTGTGCCCAGCGTCGGCTAGCATGCGCGAGCTTGATGTCTAATGTTTGACCATAC